AGTCCCTAAAAATAGTCTTTAAAAAATCCACGCCTTGTATTAGTCCCTAAAAATAGTCTTTAAAAAATCCACGCCTTGTATTAGTCCCTAAAAATAGTCTTTAAAAAATCCACGCCTTGTATTAGTCCCTAAAAATCGTACAATTTTTCCATTATTTTTTAACTTTCTTTGCACCGAGGAAAATAGAAGACAGAAGAAGAAGAAATAATTGTTTGCCAACTTCCAAACCAACATCAACCGAGGAGATAGGGTTGAGTAGCGATAGACGTTGTCGTGAGTGACATCAAGACATTTTATGAGGTGATAAATTTTTTTAGAGTTATCAACTAACCAAAAAATTCGTTAAATGCGATGTGATGCTATGCAATCCGCTGATGATGGCGGAGATGATGACATTATTATTATCTTCTGTAAATTAATAAAAAAATAGGCCTCACACCGCCGATTAGGAAATCCACGAGAAGGCACTCAGTTTCTCCTCGGATGGCGTTAATAAATGTTAAATGCTTTGGTAAACCTATTTCCGCACGAAGCTAACAGAAATAAAAACAGCAAAGTGTGGCAATAATTTTATAATCACAACCATAATGGAAATGAAAATAAAAATCATAAATTGTGAATTATGAATTCATTACCGAATGACTTACTTATGTAATGTACATGTTCACAACTCGCTCAGCTCATCTTTTTGGCGAACAAAAAAAAAATAAAGTCTGAATTATGATCTGCTATAAACAGTGATATGAGCATAAAATCATAACAGAGTAATTCTCTCACTCCCCTCTCTTTGAATTATAAATATCATGGAAGAAAAGTGAAATTCTTTTTTAATTGAACGATAAATGCAAATGTCAATAATATGCTCTAGAATAAACACACGCATATTTACATACATACACATGTATTTTCATTGAATTGAGGTAGGGTACATTGTCCAATTATACATACAATATTTGATAGTTTATTTAATGAAGCGCCGGTGTGGAATATTTATATTGGATATGACGTAAACAATTTAAGAAGAATTAGTTTACATTTTAATTAACCGTTTTTATTATATCAGGTCAAAGCGTGGATTAAACAAAATCAGGGACCAATAAAAGGCATCGATTTTATTGGTCCCGTGAAATTTTGGCAACATTTTATTTTCAGTAGATATTTAACCAACTATTTTGTTATGGACCTAAAATATATTTTTAAGACACCAATAGAAGTTTTTTGTTTTTGTGTGTTTTTTTTTCAGGGACCAACACAAGGAGCGTTTTTGTAAAATAACCCAAAAATGTTTAAAAAAATCTAAGCTTTAGGCAAATGTTTTTTTTTTAAGTTTAGGTCCTTAGAAAATTATTTTCTAACCAGTAAGGAAAGTAGTAAAGTCGGGCTGGGCCGACTATATGATACCCTTCACCACTTTGAGTATATTCTACATATGGGTATTCTCAATTATTTTTTTAATTCCATTAAAAGTTTTTTGTTTTTGTGTGTTTTTTTTTCAGGGACCAACACAAGGAGCGTTTTTGTTAAATAACCCAAAAATGTTAAAAAAAATCTAAGCTTTAGGCAAATGTTTTTTTTTAATTTTAGGTCCTTAGAAAATTATTTTCTAACCAGTAAGGAAAGTAGTAAAGTCGGGCTGGGCCGACTATATGATACCCTTCACCACGTTGAGTATATTCTACATATGGGTATTCTCAATTATTTTTTTAATTCCATTAAAAATAATTGATTTGGTTCGATATTTATCAATAAATGAACCGACTAACATCAATCCATATACATGCTTTTCTGCAACCTATGCTAAATTTCAATGGGACATATTTCGATTTATAGCACACTTGATACACACTATTCGATAATACACCCGTTCGAAATATATATGGAAGTTATGTATACATCTGCACCCATTACAAAAAAGCGCAATCATTCTAGTCTCAATTGAGTTCGTTGAGCAACATTTTGTATCAATCGGAGGAGTTTGGTGCACCATTTACCAAAAATCGGACGAAAATATATATGTTACAGATATATATAAATCTGCATTTTCAGGAAATTAACACACATCATTCTAGACTTAAGGCAGTACGCTATGCTAAATTTCGTACAAATTGAACGGTATATAGGGACTTTGGTACACCATATATATTAAATTTTAGGAAAATATAAAATAAATCTGAACCGATTTCCACAAATCTTAACACAGATCATTCTATACTGAATTTAGTACGCTATGCCAAATTTCGTGCAAATCGAACGGTATATAGGGACTTCCGCACACCATTTACCTTAAATCGGAGCAAATTATATATGGGAGCTATATCTAAATCTTAACCGATTTTCACGAAACTTAACACACATCTTTCTAGACTTAATTGAAATTTGTTGCAAATCAAAAGAAATATAGAGGCTTTGGTACACCATTTACACAATATCGGGCGAATATATATATATATATATATATATGAACTATATCCAAATCCGAACCGATTTCCAAGAAACTTGGCAGACATGACTCCTGACCCATTTCAGTACGCTGTGCCAAATTTCGTGCAAATCGAAAGATATATAGAGACTTTTTTGCACCATTTGCATTAAATCGGACGAAAATATATATGGGAGCTATATCTAAATCTGAACAGATTTTGGTGCACCATTTACATGAAATCGGATAAAACAATATATAGGAGCTATATCTAAATCTGGACCGATTTCCACGAAACTTGGCAGACATCATTCTAGGCTCAATTCAGTACGTTATGCCAAATTTCGTGCAAATCGAAATATATATAGGGACGTTGGTGCACCATTTACATTAAATCGGACGAAAAAACATATGAGAGCTATATCTAAATCTGAACCGAAACTTTGCACACATCATTCTAGACTTAATTCAGTACGCTATGCCAAATTTCGTGCAAATGGAACCATATGTCAATCTCGTTTCCTTTTGCCTGTTACAAACATATGCACAAAGACATAATACCCTGATGTTGTTGTTGTAGCAGCCCTATTGCGTTTATACAATGAGCAGAGGTGACAGTCGTTGGCCGAGTAAGACTCAGGTTGTTTCGGATCGTAGACCCCCCTGTCGTGGAAACGTGGAAACAGGGTACATAATACTATGTACCACAGTGTGGTGAAGTCCTTAGAAAAATATTTTTTTAATCCAGAAAAATTTTGTTAATTCATGCCTATCCAAGCCTAGAAAAATATTTTTAAAAATCTACGCTTATCCAAGACCCCAGAAAACCATTTTTTATTCATGCCTGTCCAAAAACTCACGGTTCATGTAGGTCCTTATAAAAATATATTTTTTTAAATCCCGAAAACTTTTTTAATCCATGCTTATCCAAGATCCTAGAAAAATATTTTTTTTAATCTATGCTTATCCAAGACCCCAGAAAACTATATTTTTAATTCACACCTATCCAAGACCCCAGTAAACTATTTTTTTTAAATCCTCGCTTTAAATAGGTCCTTAGAAAAATATTTTTTTTTAAATCCCCGCCTATCGAAGACCATAGAATAAATGTTTTTTTTTTTAATTCACGCCTATCGAAAACCTTCTATCTTAAACCTCAAATATAGACGTAAAAAATGCCTAGAGAAATGTTTTTTTTAATTCACACCATAGCCTGTAGCTTGAAAAAATATTCTTAAAAAGAGAGTTTTTTAAAAGAGATTTAAAAAAAATATTTTTTCATACACCAATACAAGGACTTGATTTTTAAAAAGTATTTTTTAATAAAATATTAAATGCATAATAACAATATATATTTTTTGGTAATCTACACTTACGGGTTCCTCGATTTTGTTAGGATTACTTTTTTCAGTATTTATTTAAAATATGTTGCAATTTAACACATAAAATCGCCTCAATATTTAGCAACACCATCCTAATAACACCAATCCATATTGTACAAATTATGCAATAATAAAAAAATGCACATTCACGTGTATTAAACAATTTATGTTACAAAATTTAAAATCATTAAAAAAATCTCAAAAATTAACCAAATATTTATTTTAGAAGAATTACATTGGAAAAATAACAAACCAGAAGTCATCACTCCCCCTACACCAAACAACACGAAACAAAAGTGAAGTGAAGCAGCTAACAAGCGTGACGTCGATTACGCACAACGGTCATCCAGTCATTCAGCTTGATTGGCTGGATCAACAAACAGCTAAGTTGGACGCATCAAATGAGTTTCCGACCTACGAAAACTCCAAAGAAAGCCAACCTTCAAGTGACTGCTCTATACTCTGAATCGACGCAAAGGAACAACAACAAACAACCTCAAATTTGTATGTCATTAAAAAATGAAATGGAAATTGTTTTTTCGTCAGTGTTTTCATTAACTGGTAATTGTTGTTGTTCTTAAGGTCTGCGCACAAGAAGCAGAAGAAGAAGAAATTATAACGCGCTTTAATAACTTTTTAGCACTTTGCTCAAATAAAAGAAGAAGAAAAACCAAAAATGTTGAAAACATGATTTTGGTTTGTGGCTCAAATGAAATGATTTACATACAAACATACCGGCAGACAGACAGACACACATTTAACACACTCCACATTCGGTTATGGATGGGCACTAAATTTAATACCGGCTAGCTAACTAGCTACCGGCAGCGACGATGGTCTATCTGGACTAGGTTGGCTGGCTTGTCTTCATGTCTTCGACGTATGTATGAATGTGTGTGGCTGGCTAACTGACCGATGGTGTCCATGTGTAACACTTTTTCTCACTGTGAAATGTTGTTTATTTTTTTAATATCGAAATGAAATTTTTCGTTTAACAATCGCTTCATTTGAAATGTTCCAGTCATTTGTGGCGCTGAGCGCAAGCGCACTGCAACGGAAGTAAAACGAAAAAAAATTTATCGCCAGGAATAAAAGAAAACGAAACGAACGGTCGAAGCGAAGCGAGCTATCTTCGGTGTTGTCGTCGTCGGTCAAGCGAGGAGGATAACGAATTTTTTTTTGCGTGAATTCCAAAACGAACGAAACCTCCAAAATGAAAAGTTATAATTACGGATTATTTGCATTGCTGTTATTTGGTTTTGTGTCGTTTTCCGAAGGTACGAATAGAAAAAAAAACGAATTGTGATTTTAATTTTACAAAAGAATATTTTGTAATAGAAAAATGTGTATATACAAACAAATATGTATATTTAAAATATTAAATGTACAATGTGAGAATATAAAACAATATTATTATTGAAAAGAAAAAAAAATCCAAGGATCTTTATGGATTAAAAATAAATATTTAAATGAATAAAATGACATGTGTATGAATTTGTGTTGCAATAAAATATGTACAAAATTGTGATGGATTTAATTTGAAATGAAACATAAAAATTGTTGTATTTAAATAACAAAACAATATTTAAAAAGATTATCAAAATTAAAAATATTAAACAAAACTTATATTTATACCAAAATAAAAAAAAAATTACCGATTGTTAATCGAAATCAATAATGGCGGTTTGTATAGTCAAATACGAATGGACAACTATAATTGGAATATAAATTAATTTTTTTTATTTCGATATATATTTGCATAAAAAACAATTACTTATACACCACAAATATCAAAACACGGAAATAAGTTCGGCGTACTAGAATCTGCTGAAATTATACACTATTAATTACATTCCAGTATGGAATGTAGTAAAGTCGGACTGGGCCGACTGTATGATACCCTTCACCACTTTTGGTATAATCTACATGATCTCCTAACAGACGTCGCTTTTTCGAAAGAAATTTGACATGAAATTTAACGAACTTGAATATGTGACCAATATGCTTTTCTAGAACCTATGCTAAATTTCATTTCATTTGGCCAAGTTTAGAGTTGTTTGCGTAAAATGGGACAAATTTGTGTAAATGGATTCAGAGCAAACTTGATACACGATATTCGGTAGGCCGCACTCTTCAAAATTTAATAACAATCAGACACACGTTTGAAATATATATGAAAGCTGTGTCTGCATCTGCCGTATATCAATTCGATACGTTGTGCAAAATTTCGTGCCATTTACCTAAAATCCAACGAAAATATAAATGACTAATTCGGTACGCTATGCCAAATTTCGTGCAAATCGAAGGATATATAGTGGCTTTGGTGCATCATTTCTATTAAATCGGACGAAAATATATATGTATATATATATCTAAATCTAAACCTATTTTACGAAACTTAGCACACAGCATTCTAAACTTAATTCAGTACGCCAAATTTCGTGCAATTCGAAAGATATAAAGGGACTTTGGTGCACCATTTTCATAAAATCGGATGAAAATATTATGGGAGCTATATCTAAATCTGCAGCGACTTTTCCCAATTTTAATAGGGTTCGTCTTTGGGCCAAATCGATGAGCTGTGTCATGCATAAATCGACTCAGAAAGTAATTCTATGCACATTTCCTTTTGGCAGTTACAAAACCACTTTGGATACATACAAAAGATGCTCATACGTACAATATCCTTCAGATAGAATAGGCATGACACTGTTGGAGGACCATTGAAATGGAATCGGTAGAAATTAACAACGTCAAGATATTTGATAGATATTTGAACTAAATTAAGGGGACCCCCCATTCACGGGGTCAAACAATTTTTAGATTTAATTCGAATCTACACTAATTCAAGACAGCATCAAATGACGGCTAAAGGGCTTCTCAAACTTTAAACGCGTTTTTCTCTTTTGCTAATAACCCAATCGATTCCAAATTTTTACACATTTCTCTGTGAGTGTACAGCTATCGTATGAACTAGGATAAAGTCAATCGGTGAAGATCTTCCTTATTTTTTAATTTGGTTTTTTGTCAAAAATCGGCGATTTTCCAAAAATATTTTTTCAAAGGTCCGCCATTTTGTTAATTTTAGAGCAAATTCATACGAGAGCCAGACATGTACTCTTTCTAACACCGTTGGAATTTTCGGATTCCGATGTTCCAGTGAGGAGTTATCATGCACGCCCTAAAAAATAAGGACTTCTCTTTAATTACAAAAAACAACAAACAAAACAATTACACATTTTTTTTTGTAAATTATGTTTCTTTTCTTACAAACATTAACAAGCATTGGCATTGATTTACCAGCCCATTGAAAAATTAAAATCGAGAATGGGGGGGTTCCCTTAAATCAAAAAACAAAATTAATTTTTTTATAAACCCAGTATGGGAGGAGTCACCTTAAATGTTAAGCGTTAGGATGGTATCGAGATACAGAACTAAAATGTTCGGTTCGAAAATGTTTTATATGGGATCATATTCAGACATCATAAAACTGTATACACACGTTCACTTATTGGTATATATTCGTCTGTTTCGGAACCTTCAAGATGTATAGTTTTTTACTACGATAAGATTTTTACCACACTATACATTGTGGTACATAGTATTATGTATTTGTGCATATGTTTGTAACAGGCAAAAATATTCGTGATAGACCCATGGTTCCTTTTGAGAATATGCATAGAATCACTTTCTGAGTCGATTTATGCGTGTCCGTCCGCCTGTCCGTCCGTCCATGTATTTTTGTTAACAAAGTACAAGTCGCACTTATTATCCGATTTGGATGAAATTTAGCACAGGTCACTTAATTGGCCCAAGGACGAACCCTATTGAAATTGTGAAAAATCGGTTCAAATTTAGATATAGCTCCCATATATATTTTCGTCCGATTTAAGGTAAATGGTGTACCAAAGTCCTCATATATCTTTCGATTTGCACGAAATTTTGCATAGCGTATTGTATTAGGCCTAGAATGATGTGTGTTAAGTTTCCTGAAAATCGGTTCAGATTTAAGTATAGCTCCCATATATAGTTTCGTCCGATTTAAGATAAATGGTGTACCAAAGCCCCTATATATATATTTTGATTTGCCCGAAATTTGGCATAGCGTAATGAATTAGGTCTAGAATGATGTGTGTTAAGTTTCCTGAAAATCGGTTTAGATTTTGATATAGCTCCCATATATATCTTCATCCGATTTAATGTAAATGTTGTACCAAAGTCCCTATACATATTTCAATTTGCACAAAATTTAACATAGTGTACTGAAGTAAGTCTGTTCAGATTTAGATATAGCTCCCATATATATTTTCGTTTGATTTTATGTAAATGGTGTAGCAAAGTCCCTATATATCTTTCGATTTTTACGAAATAGCATACCAAATTAAGTCTAGAATGGTGTTTTCTAAGTTTTTTAAAAATCGGTTCAGATTTAGATATTGCTCCCATATATATTTTTTTGTATGATTCATCGTAAATAGTGTACCAAAGCTCCCATATTTCTTTCGAGTTGCACCAAAATATCGCATATTTAAGTTCGTTCAATTTCATGTCAATGTTCCTTCGAAAAGACGATATCTATTAGGATACATATGTAGAATATACCCAAAGTGGTGAAGGGTATCATATAGTCGGTCCAGTCCGACTTTACTACTTTCCTTACTGGTTTCTTTATGATATCGACAAAAATAGTACAAATATTAATATATTGTTGCATAAGGGAAACAGACCGACCATATATTATGTGGATCGAGAGACTTCTTTACAAATAAATGACAATACAATATGGTGTAAACTTTAGGAAATTTACCATCAACATTTACTGGAAACATCGTTTACATAGGTTCATTTATGTTTAATGTTCCCTACCCAAAAATCTCACCCATTTTTATTTCATCGGAGTTTTTAGCCATGTGGGGTTAGAGCTTTTACGTCAGGTAATTGTCCGTGTGACTGTAGTGGAGGATATGTAATGTTTGCCCTGGCCGAACCTAAGGTTCTTTTATCCACTTGTTGTAGTTATCATTATTGTTAACCACATACTATAAGCGATTTGACGACGATTCCAATAAACCACGGATTTTTTAATGTTCATTTCAATACATTCTCTAGTTATATTTTATATAATATTTAGTAATTTCTCATCTTAATCTCAAAATACGAGTATTAAATATAGTCCCCGCTGCTTCAAAATACTTCATATATGTTTTAAATAATAAAAAGGAGGGTTTACAAACAACAAACGAGAGACCACGACGTCCAAAGCTATTAAAGCCAAAAGCCGACAAAAAAATTATCTAACAAATATCGCGAAAAGAAGATTTGGTTCGATGGTACCTTTTTGTCTTCTGTATACATTGTTTTCAAAAATTTCATGTGAGGGCATGAAAACACTACGGAAAGAATAGCCCAAATCTTGTTATCTCTCCAAAAAATTTGAAACATTAATAAATTTCAAAAAGTAAACAAATATTTGTCGTTTTTCAAAATGCTTAATGCTTGTTAACAAATTTTCACCGATGCGGCTACCTTGTATATCTACCTTGATTTTAACGAAAGAATTTAATATTTTCTCGCCTTAAATCCGCCAAAAATTTTTTAAAGTCTCTCACTTAAGAGCAGACCGTTTATGTGTATAATAATCCCAAAAAAATCATATGAAATTCGAATCATACGTTTTTGAGCTATATTGGGCGATTTCGCCGATGTTTGACATGAAAAAGACTGCGCCACGTCTCACACATCCCATCAATTAAGGAATTTAACGAGTAAAGTAATATCACACGAGTCATTTCCTAGTTAGCCGTCTAAATCCTCGAACGAGTCATCAAAATTTAAACTCAACGGATGGACTATCTTAAGCGTAGATATTTGCATTTTCTTCAACCGCACAATCTTCCTCAACTACCAAAAATTCATTAGCCTCTCTGGTATATTTAAAATATAAATGCCGAAACAAGTTCTTTCAAGCCTTCAAATTTTTCTTATTTAAAAAAATGTGGGAACCTCGAAATGGTTCACGCTATAATTATAACAAATTATTGGAGATTTGTGTCCTGTTTCTTACAATATCCCTTACATCTTCATCAACCGCACAATCTTCCTCAACTACCAAAAATTCATTAGCCTCTCTGGCAGCAACAACAAAAAAGGTGGCGCCCAACTAGAAAATATTGGAGATAATTTCATTAGCGTTGTTGCTTGGTAATTAATTGGTGGTGACACTTTAAGCGGCCAATGTGAAGGTAATTACGTGTGTTGGCGTGGTACGGTATCCCAACAGCACCGAATGTACCCATTTAAGTCGGAAAAGTCCTATCCTATTCTTGTCCATCCTTTAATGCAGAGATCCGCATATGTGAGAACGATCTACATACGACAAAAAATAATGAAAATTTCTAGTTGAAATTATTTACGTATTCTTCCCGAAATTCCCAAAAAAAAAATAAATTCTAACCCACCTTATTATCTTATCTTCTGCAGGCAAACCATGTCCGGGGAAAACACGACCACATAAGACCCGCTGCGACGCCTATTACAAATGTACCGAAATAACGGAAGAAAAACATGTCTGGGTGCCGGCGAAATGCGAAGAAGGTTTGATCTATGAACACGCATTGGGTGTGTGTGTTCTGCCAGCCGATGATTGGGAATGTGGTATGAATGCTACAAATGAAGTGAACCCCAAAACCCCACCACGCACGAAACAAAGCACACCGAATCGAAATAGAGATGCGGATTTTTATGTTGTCACCAATGCTCAAGAAGAATTCGAAGGCGAACATAAAAATGATAAATACGATGATGGCAAAGTGGAAATTATCATAGGTTCGGGAGTGAGCAGTGAGGAGGAGCTAGATGGTCGAGATGAACTCTATGATGGTAGTGGAAATGGTGCTAATGGTGAACTTGTCGAATTGGATGATTTGATACATGTGGAAAATCGTGAGGGAAATGATGAGGTGGTTATGATTAAGGAAAAAGAGCCAGAGGGTGGAGAGGAAGGAAATAAGCAGGAAGTGATTATGGATATGGAGAAAAAAGAGGAACTTAGTGAGGTCTTGCAGACCATAAAAACCAAGGCAGAAATAGGCCAGCCCTCAAGTAATATTGATCCCAATTTGACGGCCCATTTGCAGAGATTGTCACAATTGGTGGAAGGCCTGAAGCAGACCTATCAAAATGGTGAAACCCCTACGAAAGATTTAAGGCCGGATCAATTGAATGCCTTTTTGGCCCATTTCAATATTAAAAATAAAATGGACACGGTGGAGGGAAATGGTGAGGGGAAAGATGAAATAGTCCCGGTAATTGTGGGGGCGACAAACAAGACCTCAAGTGGCAAAAAGGAAGGAACAAAGAAATTAAATCCCGAAACCAAGGTGGTGCTAAGCAATATTATACCGAAACGCTATTCAAATCTGCAACATTCCGCAGGTGAGGGAGGTTATTCCAATTCGCAAATTGTCGTAAATCGCCCTGAGGGAGCGGTATTGTTTGCCTTGCCACCTTCCTCGTCTTCCTCCTCCTCTTCACAGGGAGAACATCATTTTATTGAGCGGCCTGAATATTTCTCAGATAATTCTCCAAAGATTTCCGAGGACACCTTGAAGACCGTCTTGGAACTGTCGAAGCAAATGATTGCCTCCCAAAATATACCCAGTGTTATACGCAATCCTGCCTATTATCCTCCACCCATTATGCAACCTATTGTACTGACCCAAAGTCCATTTTCAGATTATTATGGAGCCAGGCCGCCGCCATTACACCATGAGGACAATTCCGAAGATGGTGGTGGTGGATATTCAAGTGTTTTTAGTACCGATCATCATTATCAATCGTACAAGGGTCACAAGAAGCCCGGTAAGAAGCCGCACGACAGCTCACCCACAACAATCATTCACAATAATGTCATACCGCTGCACTTAACTTCGTCGGGAGGGGGATCCTCAGTGGATAAATTGGATAGCTACGGGCAAAGTTTAAATTTATATCCACCAATTGATTCGCAAGAGGAAAGACCCGATCATCTAGTGGATGGTTATTCGGGTAATAGTGGAAAACCGGTATATGAAAACAACAAATATACGATACGCACCACCCGAAGACCTTCGGGTACAACTACTACAGCTACGCCCTCGAATTATGGCCATACCTTAAGGCCTAATGATTTCCATCCCACTTCGCATAACTTTAATAAATATTTTACACCCAGCGAACATTTGAATAATCACAATGTGAATAATATTTTCCAGACTACAGATAACTATGGAAATTTACTGCCACAGGGGGGACGCCCATCGTCTCAGCAATCACACTCTCAATCTGGACCATCGGGCTCCTCGTCTTCCTATACGGATGAAGATAATGGTAATAATTATGGCGCCCAATATCCCAGTGGCAATTCAAATCAGGATTATGGACAACAGATGTTTACCGAGGATCATGTCCAGCAACATCAACCCCAATATCCGAATACCGTCGATGAGGATGATGCCGATATGATAACCTATAGTTTTGGTAACCCAAAGCCCTCGCATACCGATGCTAATCTGCAAATGCAACAATATCCGGCCTCACAATCGGTATTCAGCACAAACAACAACAATCATTATATGCCAAGGCCCTCGGGATCCTCATCTTCAAATAATATGATGTTCAATCCCTCGGGAAATTCCTATAACCCATCAGCACAATCATCGGCGAACTCCTACAACCCTTTGACATCCCTATCCCTAACATCATCCTCATCAGCCGCACAAACTTCCTCAAATGTCTACAATCCATTATCTTCCCTTGCCAACAAATTTCCAATATCCTCTTCCAACTCCCACAAAGGTGGCGCCCAACTAGTCAATATTGGTGGCAATTTCATTAGTGTTGATGCTTTCCAAAATTCCATATTACCCCTGATGGGTGGTAATGCCCAAGCGGCCAATGTGGAGGTCATTACCTGTGCCGCTGGGGTACGGCAACCCAATAGCACCGATTGTACCCGCTACTATGTGTGCAGCAAAAAAGATGGCAAGGTTTTATCCTATTCCTGTCCCCCCTACACAGCTTTTAATGCCGAGACCCGCATTTGTGATGCCCGCACTTATGCCATGTGCAATCCCGAAAACGATCTACAACCCAACTATTCGGTAAACGAAAATAAACGCCTGCAAATGGAGGCCCTAAAAGCCATGCAAGAGGCTAAACGTAAACAGGCCATGCAACAACAACAAATGCAACAGCAGCAACAACAATTGGCCAGCATCCTACAACAATACACGATGCAGCAGAATTCTCCCTCGGCCATGACCATGGGAAATAATAATAACCAAATGCTAAATACCGGTTACTCACCACCCACGGGAACCAGTGATGAACAAAATATGTTACAATCATTTATGCAACAACAGCAGCAGCAACAACAACAAAACTCGTTATCCCTAATGCCCAGCACCACGGCCCGGCCACAACAACTAACTCCAACAAAAACCAAAAAACGCAAATACTATTGCAAGGAAGGTGATAAAATACCCGATCAAACCTCAATTAGCAGTTACTTCGTTTGCTATAAAAATGCCCAAGGCCAAATGAAGGGCCACAAAATGACCTGTTCGAAGGGATTGCTGTTTTGTCCCAAAACCACCATGTGTACCTTGCCATCGAAATGTTCATAAGCTATGCAATTCTATACTCTTGCTATTCTCCTGCCTGCCCCCATAATGCGTCCAATTGATTTTATTTTTACTTGGCCGTTACTTTAGTAGTATTATAATTTTAGTTATTAAGTAAGCCAATTTATTATTTATTTATTAAATTATTTATTTATTTTATAATTTAAGTTAATTTTTATTTATTCGAAATAAAATACGACGACAAAGAAAATAATACGAATGTAAATGAAAAATTGATTTTGAATTTTATTGACTAGCCAATGTCCAAGACGCAGATCGGCCCATAGATCTTCCGGATAATTTTTCTCTCAAAAACTCCAACTTGCGTAACTACCCATGCTTCAGATCCATATAACAGCACGGGTAGTATTAGCTTCTTTTAGAGTGTGAGTTGGTTCTGGCAAGAGGTGGCCTTGCATTTGAGTTGCTTACTTAGACTATAGTAGAATCTGTTGGCCAACACTATCGTTCTTCGAATTTCAAAATTGGATCATTTGCTTTATATAGGGCGGTACCGAGATATATAAAATCGTTCACTATCTGGAAGCTGTGGGTTTCAAGTTCCACAGTTGGTCCGAGTCTACTGGACATCTTGCGCGTTGATACCATCAGCTCGGTCTTCTTGCCATTTACTGCCAGTCCCACTTTGGAAGACTAATTCTCAATTCGTTCAAAGGTGGCTGTTACCGTTCGCAATGTTCGACCCATTATGTCGATGCCGTCTGCGTAGGCGAGTAACATATGCTGTTTGGTGTACAGAGAGCCATTTCTGTTCATATTTGCATCTCGTATGACATTTTCCAGCAGAATGGAAAACAAGTCACACAACAAACTCTCACCTTGTCTGAATACTCGTTCGGTATTGAAGGGCTTCGAGAGGTCCTTTCCGACATAAACTGCTGACCATGTTCCACCCAAAGTTATTTTGCATAGCCATATTAATTTGGCAGGAATACCGAAAGCAGACATGGCTTTAAATACCTCTAAACGGATAGGGCTGTCGAACGTGGCTTTATAGTCGACGAATAGGTGGATGGTGTCGATGTGTTTGTGTTGGTCTTTTCCAGGATTTGGAAAAGCTATAAATAAGCCAGTCTTTAACTATACTGCTCCGGTTTATACTTCGTTTACCAGCGATCTTCAAAGGATAATGCTACGAACAGCACAACTAATGTCATTCGAACCGCCACCGGATTTGTTCAGATGACGAGTACGAATCATCTACATGAAGAAGCAAGGATACAAGGATACTAACATAACGTATTGCTCACCAGACTGTTCCTGCATATAGTGGTTCAGAATCCATATTCTCAACACATTTGAAAGGACATCAGGGGATATAGCAACGACTAACTGGAAGTCATTCCATCCGACATCGAACGATAGTCACTGTCAATATCTCTTATAACTCAGACAGTTCAGGCAGCTGTCAACGATCATGAGCCAAATAGTGTCATTTGTTGTCAAGCACCAACAAACGAACGAAGCTGAGATGAACTAGAACGATTCTAGCGTAACTTCGGTTAGTCATCTTAAACTCACCATCGATCTATGGCTGATACCAGTAGATGTGGCATCCCAATTATAATATAGTAGTTCAGGAAGTACATCAGACGATATATCAACGATATGCTGGAAGTCTGATATCTAGCCAGTCGATTTCAGACATCGCTGAGAATTGTTCAACAGTCGCCAAAGCTGAGATGCCCCTGACCAGAAGAACAGCAGCTTTGCAGCTTTGTTCAGGATGCTCAGTCATCCAACACTCATATCAAGCGAGAAGTGACGAGATCGAAGGCATTCCTCCGAATACATGAAGGGCCCGTACTATATATATTTATGTCCAGTTCAACTCGGGGGGTTGCGTCTCATCGATCTGTGTATGAGACCAGTACAAGAGGCGACGTCCAGGGAGACAAGCTAGATTACAGGTCACCAAGGGAGACCAGCTGATTATCGATACCTCTCAAGTTTGCTGTCAAAATGCATTATTGTGAATTGACTTCCATTATGAAAACGTAAACAAAGTCGAAATTTTTGACATTAGACTTGAGAAAAAACAGCTGTTTTCCGATTTCGATTGCTATCTTGGTGACCTTATTAATAGATCTTGGTATATTCTTTCTATTTTTCTTTTTCGATTAATCGTTTATCGATTTATTTCTCCTCAAATCCATTTTCGATCTTTAGAACCCTCTAACTCTCGATGATTTTGTTTTGCTAACCACTTTTATTTACTTCTTATCTTCCATCCATTATTCGTATAAAAATACATAAGTCGACCTACTTCTCCCTAACTCTGTGTTTGCATTATTTTCTTATTGGAAAATTTGTTGTTTGGAGGAAAAATGTCCCAAATTGCCGAGACGAATCTTACTGACCAGTTGGACAATGAGGAAGTCCGTGAGATACTCAAAAACACTACCGATCTCCGGCAGTATTCACGACAAATCGAAAAAGAATTCAAAGAGGTGGAGAACAAGAGTATCGAAGACTACATCAAGGAATCGCAAAACATTGCTGCCCTTCACAACCAGATTGGAGAATGTGACGATGTCCTCGAACGTATGGAGAATATGTTGATGAATTTCCAAAGTGTCCTCAGCAATATAAGTACGGAAATAACACAGCTGCAAAAGAAGAGTGTCGCCATGTCGGTACAATTGACAAATCGTCAATCGGTTAAGGCCCAGCTGTCACAATTCATTGAAGACATGGCGGTGTCGGAGGAAATGATAATGTCCATTATGGAGACGCCAGTGACGGAAAAGGAATTCGAAAAACAATTGAACATTTTAAATCATAAGCTATCGCTGGTCAAAGAGTTGAGTTTTAAAGAATCCAAAGCCACTGCAGATGTGGCAGATGTTTTGCATAAATTGCGGCTGAAGGCTATGTCGAAAATTCGTCAATATATGCTGGAGCAAATTTATAAGTTCCGGCGACCCATGACAAACTATCAGATACCACAGAATGCTATGTTGAAACATAAATTCTTCTTTGAATTTGTGTTGTCTAATGAGCGGCAGGTGGCCCAGGAGATATGTAATGAGTATATCGATACGATGAGTAAGATCTATTATAGTTATTTTAAGGTGAGAGGTTGTTGGGATTGGAGTGTGGGGGATTTTTTTTTATTAATTCTTGTTTTTTTATTGCAGAGCTATTCATCCCGCCTGGCTGGTTTGAAATTTGAAGAATCCTGTACTAAAGATGATTTAATGGGAATTGAAGATAATGTCTCGAAGGGCCTGTTTGCCAAGACTACCAGTTTGAAACATAAGAGTACAATTTTCACCATTGGCAAGCGAGGTGATATTCTGAATCAACAGCTAGAGGCTCCCATTATTGTTCCGCACGCTCAAATGAAAAATAGGGTAAGTACACAAATTAAAAAAAAATACTCCCCGTAGATGGGGAGCATGTCTTGTGTGGACAGGACCCTTAAAAATTACTTTTTAAAAAATCCACGCCTTGTGCGGATTGGTCCCTTAAATTTTTTTTTTAAATGCACGCCTTATGCGGATTGGTCCCTTAATTTTTTTTTTTAAATCCACGATTTGTGCGGATTGGTCCCTTAAAAAATATTTTTTAAAAAATCCACGCCTTGTGCGGATTGGTCAATTAAAAAATATTTTTAAAAAAATCCACGCCATGTGCGGATTGGTCCTTTAAAAAATATTTTTAAAAAAATCCACGCCATGTGCGGATTGGTCCTTTAAAAATATTTTTTAAAAAATCCACGCCTTGTGCGGATTGGTCCCTTAAAAAAATATTTTTTTTAAAAAATCCACGCCTTGTGCGGATTGGTCCCTAAAAAAAATATTTTTTAAAAAATCCACGCCTTGTGCGGATTGGTCCCTTAAAAAAATATTTTTTTAAAAAATCCACGCCTTGTGCGGATTGGTCCCTTAAAAAAAATATTTTTTAAAAAATCCACGCCTTGTGCGGATTGGTCCCTAAAAAAAATATTTTTTAAAAAATCCACGCCTTGTGCCGATTGGTCCCTTAAAATATATTTTTTAAAAAATCCACGCCTTGTGCCGATTGGTCCCTTAAAAAATATTTTTTTTAAAAAAATCCACGCCTTGTGCGGATTGGTCCCTAAAAAAAATATTTTTTAAAAAATCCACGCCTTGTGCGGATTGGTCCCTAAAAAAAATATTTTTTAAAAAATCCACGCCTTGTGCCGATTGGTCCCTTAAAATATATTTTTTAAAAAATCCACGCCTTGTGCCGATTGGTCCCTTAAAATATATTTTTTAAAAAATCCACGCCTTGTGTCGATTGGTCCCTTAAAATATATTTTTTAAAAAATCCACGCCTTGTGCGGATTGGTCCCTTAAAAAATATTTTTTAAAAAATCCATGCCTTGTGCGGATAAAACCCTTAAAAATATTCTTTAAAAAATCCACGCCTTGTGTGTATCCCTTAAAAAAATATTTTTTTTTTAAATCGAAGATTGAGGACCATGAAAATATTTTTTTTTGAAATTCAAATGTCTTCTTTTTTATTTGATAGTACACCTTTGAGGCACTTTTCCGTTCCGAACAATACGCCCTCGTTGATAATGCCTGTCGTGAATATTTATTCGTAACGGAATTCTTTATGGTACGTGGTGCCCAAGCCCAGGATCTCTTCAATCAAATTATGGGCAAAACCTTGACATTGATGATTGTAAGTTTCTGAATTGAATTGAAACCAAAATTTAAGCCATTAACACCGACCATTACTTTTAGAAAAATTTGGAAACCAGTATTCAAGATTGCTTCGATACCATAGCTATGTTCCTCTGTATCCAATTAATATTCCGCTATCAATTGATGTGCCACAAACGATGTGTACCTGCATTGGATAAGTAAGGCCCCAAATATTATTTCAAAACATTTTTTTAATTCCGATTTTTTCTCTTGCAGATATTGGGATTCATTGCAGGCGGTATTTTGGCCCAGGTTTGAACATGTATTCCGTTTGAATATACAAAGTATACGAGATTGTGATCCAACAAAATTTAGCAAAGAAATGGGACCGCACTATGTAAGTAGACTTTGAGGGTATTTGAGGCAGTAATGGATATCTAAAAAAATCTAAATCAAATGGTCCTTATTTTATCTCAGTTACCCTTGATTTTACCACCTCTACAAGTTCCTAACAATTTTTTTTCCATTTTTTCTAGATAACCCGCCGCTATGCTGAATTCTCTGCAGCCATAGTGGGCATCTCAGAACATTTTCCCAATGAATTGGTTAGTCGCCTCCTGCTCGAGCTACAAAATGAAGTTGAATGCTTTATTCTACGTATGGCTGCCATATTTCCCAATCGTAAAGAACAGCTAATCTATTTAATAAATAATTATGATCTCGTCCTGGGTGTCCTTATGGAACATACACGTGATAACTCCAAAGAAGCATCAGCATTCCGGGAACAATTAAATGCTCGCAGCGCCGAATATGTTGAAGAAATTCTTGCACCGCATTTTGGTGGTATTATACAATTTGTTAAAGAATGTGAACCACTGTATGAAAAGGAACAACTTGAAGAGATCCGAAAACAGGAACGTAGAAGTTTGGCATTGGTTGCTAGTTTTTCATCAAGTTGGAAAAAATCCCTAGAAGAATTAAATCGTGAAGTATTATTATCATTCCCTTCGCTGTTGACCGGGTCACAGCTATTACAATTGGCCTTGGCTAGTTTAGTGCAATATTATCATCGTTTCCATAAACTACTGACACCAAATGCCCGTGCCCAATTGACAAATATCCATGTGGTCATGGTTGAGATGAAAAAATATAAATGTAATTATTAAGATATACACAATTATTTTTTATTATTCCCTCCTCCCTTATTATAAATTATTCCATTAGTTTTGTTAATCCCCATATTTTATATACAAATAATAAATTAAGTTGTAGAAATTTACACACGTCTATATATTCCAAATATTAATAAAATTTATTAAGATTATAACATAATTATAATTTGTGTTGCGTTAAGTGGATTTTCGTTTAATTTTTATTTGTATTGATTTTTAGCTTAGTCCTCATCTTCGAACATCATCTCTACCAAGTCTTTATTGGAACAACGTTCACCATCCAAACGTTGAGGTGATTTCCAACGCAATAATGTTGGCAAGAAGATCAAATGTGTGTTGGGATCCTTGCGGAATGGGCAATTTAAATCCTTCCAGCTGTAAATAAATAAAAGATGTAAATATAGAGGTTAGTGTCATAATTCAGGGAAAGAACATTAAATCAATTAGTTGGCGATTCTTGCAGGTTCGGAAACAGAGCAATGCGAGTATAAAATATTTAGAAATTTAGATCCGATCTCCGATTTTTACATTGACCCAGTATTCTTATATGGCTTCCTCATCTATATCAATATGAACACAATTGAACCCTGCTTGATAGGCATGTTAATGTACCGTCGGAAATAGGAGGCATCAAATGTAGATTTGAGATCGACACTCTACCTTTAACTCCGATACGAATTGAGGTGCCTGCACCACCCTGATTTCAATTCTGACCAGACCACTCTGATTTATCCGGCTGCTGTTATCGTGGAGGGTGTTTTCAGAGGATTGTATCCACCCGGTATTCCTCGAGTTCATCATTGAGAATACTTATCAATACTGCACACAGTAGGGTTGCCTTTACACAATGGGCCGGGGTGGCAGACGTTGGGCTAGTGAGTCTCGGGTCGTTTCGGATTGTCGTGGAAATGATACATAAGATTAAGGATCCGAATTGAGTTGCTACATCATCCTGATCTTAATTGCGCCAAGACCACTCTGGTTTGTCGAGATAGCTGCTGCTCTTCTACAGCTATCATAGGCGGGTGATCCTCGAGGTTTGTATTCACACGATATTCTCGAATTGCTTTCCCAACTGCGTCGGTGTGAATACGATTCAATCCTGCTTCATAGATCTGTTGATTAATAAGCTCCCTTTTGTACCTTTGGACCTCTCTCTCCAGATCATGAAGATCCTTCCTGACATGCCTAGGTGGTGGGTGCCTATCCATTAGGTAACAGAGTCAAGAGGAGACACCCTGTTGCAGTCCTCAGAGCGGCATTCTGGCAGGATTGAAGTATTTTTAATTGCGTTGCACTGCCGTTAGCGGACCATACTGGCGCCGCATAGTTTACAGCAGGCCGGCCTATTGCTGTATGTGTCGATAACAAGGTTTCTTTATCAGCTCTCCAAGTGCTGCCGTCTAGCGACTTGAGAACCTTGTTTATCCGCTGTCATCCGCGTATGTTACGATTTTATGCCGTCCAGTGGGTCTGGAATTCCAGAAAGGTAGAGTTTAAATAGGTCTGAAGATATGCGTGGGAATGGCATACAAATCTGTTGTTGTGCTGTGATGACCAGGAACCTAATAGTATTGACGAATGCTAGGGAGTAGCAATGCCTCAGGAGTCTTAGCTACTGGGGACAAAAGTGAGATCGTCCAGTATGGTTCACCTTTGCTTGCTTCCTTTTCTGGCTTCATTCAGTACATTTTCCAGGCATTGTGAACTATTAGGGTGTCTAACGACAAATATAGGTCTTTGGTAAGGTACTCTACTCCTGGCTCATTTTGCACTTCTGATGACACTTGCAACACTCTCCAACCTAAATTATAGTGTTTCCTCCTCCACATAAAAATATCGTATACGGCAACTTTCGGGTTGTTCTACAAACTGCCGGTTAAAATAACTCGGCATTTCTTCGGATCTGTCACCCACAATTTACATGCACTGGTACTGATGTTACAACACTTCAGAAGATCTGCCGCAGTAATAATGACCCGAAATTTGTTCTGTGCTACCCGAGCATCAGAAGGATTGGTAAGTTCTCTGAAGCAACGATTGGTGAAATTTCTGAACTCTTGCCAATTGTCTTTCCCATGGTTAAGGAAAGTACGACTTTCAGCAATTATGAAATCGGGTGGTCTATTGATGTATATGATAATAGGGAGGTCATCTGACCCCAATGAAATGCCGGGTTGCCAAGCCACGTCATTCGTCAGACCTGGAGTCACGATGGTAATGCACTCATTCACTGTGCAAAACGTTGAGCTATCTATTTGCTCGGCTAGCCCCATGCCCCCTGATCATTACCAAGACGGGGTGCTATAATTAATGATGTGCATTGAAATCTCCTAGCACCAGACGGTTGTTGCCTTCCAAAAGGTGACTAATTACCGGGGTTTGTCTCAATCCCGGAACGGACCAGAAGAATCCGAAGCAAACATTTCGGATAATGTAGCTTCCCTATTGAAAAATGACAGGAACGAAGGTGGACCCAACATTTTCAATATTTTGAAGTATATAATGTTTTTGTGTCCATTGGACAATTTTAATTTCATTCGAGGGAGTTGAGGATAATGTCAACCCCTAACCTCTCTCATCTTCAAACTAAGAATTGTCGTAAGTAATATTTGGGGCTGTAAATAACATTATAGCCACCATAGTACACGGCCACCATAGCTTAAAAAACATAGTGACGAGATATATTTTCGTCGTTTTGTTTTGGAATACATATGAGTCCATTTTTGAAGGTCAGGTGGTACAAATTGATAAAACTGCAATGGAATGTTGGTATACATGCAACACAAATTCCTATGGGAGTAATAAGCTATCAATTTTAAAACTGCACATATGACTCAGATTATATAGATTAATTCCATTAATGCTTATTTGTTATTATATTTCCTGATATTTTTGAGCGCTAATTTCTGGTTATAACACCAACCTTGAAAGACAATTACTGTCGGTCGCATGACACTCAACAATCTTAAGGGCATAATAAATTTTCCATCTAATCGATTTTCTGGATTGTAAATAATCTCCACACATATTGTAACCGGATATAGGTCTTTCGAATTTCGTTTATCTGTTACAAATGTTGTTAACAACACTCTTAAAAGCCTTTTCGAAAATTTAATTTGTCATGCTTATCTGACTAATTTTTCTGTTTTCCTGAAACGGTAATAAAAACCGAAATACGCTTGATGATTTGTAAATAAGTTTATGAACAACAAAAATATATTTCCCGGTCTCCGCTTGCCACCTTCCTCTACCATCTGAACCACTCACTATCTATTCGGCTTTATCAACAAAACAACAACATTATTCATAAAAGGAACTAATTGAAATACATAATTAAAATGTTTTAATTGTTACTACTTACTAGCTACGTTCACCAACATCAACGTGTACAAAATGTGATTTCTCAGGAGCTTTTTCCAGGGCATCATGAATCACCGGTTCAGCTGGGAATTACAAAACAAACAACAAACAAATGAATAAACATACATCAACATGATTGATTGTCATCAAGGTAATTCATAACGACTCGCCCACTCCCTGCCCTGCACACACCTTTTACACAATAAGGACACCAACTGTTACCCGATTCATCTTTACCACCGGAAAATAAAACATGTATCGGCTGGCCAGAACCTTCTAGTTCGCCCACCAATTTGATGAACTCTTCATAACCTTTAACATTGTGTTGAACAACCATGATTGGTTTATTTGTTGTTGTTTGAATTTGATTTTGTGTTCGATTAATCCGTGTTGTTGTTGTCGTCGAATACAATTGACGTTGTGATATTTTATAAATATCACCGACTAGTTGCCTTATGAAACGCGTTTTGGCGAAATTTCTAAACGAACATCCGGTATTTATGAAGTGCTGCAGTAATTTGCTCAGAACCGTCTCGCAGCGCAACTAATGTGTTCAATGCAATATGTTCATTGGAAGGAAGTGTGCGTATGTGTGAACTAGTTACGGTTGGCTCATTTTGTTGCTTAGGCTTCTTTCGTTGAACTTATGATTCAATGGTTTTTCAAATATGAATTGATATTCTCTCGCATTGCCAACTCTCAAAAACTCTTTATTGTGAATAGCTGATGACGATATGGGGCCGTAATAAGGTCTACGAGGTATAAATAAATCATAAAATATTATGTTTTCAGATTTATTTATTAAAAAATATTCTTACAGGCGTAGATACATATATTAAAAGTATATTCTTTAGGGTCTTATAGAGGCGTGGATTTATTAAAAATGTTTTCTTTAGGGTCTTATAGAGGCGTGGGTTTATAAAAAAATTAGGGTCTTGTAGAGGAGTGGATTTATTAATTTGTTTACTGTCTTATAAAGGCGTGGATTTATTAAACAGTTTTTATTTAGTGTCTTATAAAGGCGTGGATTTATTAAACAGTTTTTATTTAGTGTCTTATAAAGGCGTGGATTTATAAAATCTAATCAAGGCATGTATTTTTTTAAAAATGTTGCTTATGGCCTAACCAAAGCCTGGATTTATTAAAAATATTTTCTTCAGGGTCTTTTAGAGGCCTGTGGTTTTTGCAATGTTTTCTTTAGTGTCTTATAGAGGCGTGGCTTTATTAAAAATAGCTTTCTTTGGGTCTAAAGGCGTGGATTATATAATTAATATGTTTTCAGGATCATAAGAAGGTGTGGATTATTTAAAGAATAGTTTTTTCAGTGTCTAACCAAGACGTGAATTATTTAAAGAATAGTTTTTCAGGGTCATAAGAAGGTGTGGATTATTTAAAAAATAGTTTTTCAGGGTTATAAGAAGACGTCGATTATATTATGAATAGTTTTTCAGGGTTATAAGAAGGCGTGGATTATTTAATGAATAGTTTTTCAGGGTCATCAGAAGGCGTGGATTATTTAAAGAATAGTTTTTCAGGGTCAGAAGAAGGCGTGGATTATTTAAAGAATAGTTTTTCAGGGTCATAAGAAGGTGTGGATTATTTAAAGAATAGTTTTCCAGGGTCAGAAGAAGACGTGGATTATTTAGAAAATAGTTTTTCAGGGTCATAAGAAGGTGTGGATTATTTAAAGAATAGTTTTTCAGGGTCATAAGAAGGTGTGGATTATTTAAAGAATAGTTTTTCAGGGTCATAAGAAGCCGTGGATTATTTAGAGAATAGTTTTTCAGGGTCATAAGAAGGTGTTAATGTTGAATATTGTGATTGATCGCATAATTGGCAACACATATATTTTAAATTAGAGAACCCTACATTGTCCAGTTACAATAAGCAACAAATGGTTATTTGAATTAAAGATAATACTAGAAAGTAGTCACTAAGAATAATCTAGAGTTAGAAGTTACTAGAATAAGATAAAAAATGTATAAAAGAAGATGTAATGAGAATAGAGTGTGCCAGTTTGTAATAAGTAGTCAGCCCGTGTATAAAGTCTAACAAAGTGTATTCGTCAATCGTGTAAAGTCTGTCGTGTATAAGTAATAAAGTCTGCCAACACACCCCGTATCGTCCGTGTTTCATTTATTGGTGGTCATCAGCATCGTCCGTCGATTGCAAGGAGAAATTTTAATTTTCAACAGGTTATGGGCCCAGGCGAGCTCTGAAGGATCAGAAGGATAAAGTGTTGCCCAGGAAGGACTAAATGAAGGATTGCCCAGGAGGACTCTAAAGGAAAAAGAAAAACGTATTGCCCAGAAGAACTCAAGGATCTCTGAAGGATCAAAAGGAAGAAGGAATCCGTAAATAGAAATCCAGTTGTGTGTCAACAAACGGATAACGTTTTTACTGTGTGTCAGTAAGTTGAAAGCAGAGATCTATTGAAGAGCTGTGTGTGCAGGCAAGTTATTGTGTGTCAATAACAAAATAAAGTGAAAACGCATCAAAAAGCCCAGCGAAGTGAAGATGAGTTCTTCAATGTACAATATTGAGAAGTTGGATGAGTCCAACTATGATTCCTGGAGTTTTTCGATGAAAGCCGTACTAATCCACCAGGAGTGCTGGGATATTGTGAGTGGTGCTAATGTGAAACCCCAAAAGGAAAATGAGGCATGGATTAAGAAGGACGAAAAGGCACTGGCTACAATAATTTTGTGTGTCACCCCGAGGCAGATATCGTATATAAAAGGTTGTAGAACGTCGGCAGAAGCATGGAATATGCTACGAGAGGTGCACAGACCAAAAGGACCAGTTAGAAAAGTCACCCTATTTAAGAAATTGCTGGCCATGCGTATGGGTGAAGATGACGAGATTCAGCGCCATGTAAGTGAGTTTACGTCGTTAGTCGACAAATTGGCTGAAACGGGTATAGAGCTGCAAGAAGAGCTGTTCGTCATCATGCTGTTAGCAAGTTTGCCGAAATCATTTGAAAATTTTGTGGTGGCATTGGAAACCAGGGATGAGTTGCCTACGTTGAGTAGCCTCAAGATAAAGTTGGCAGAGGAAGGAGAACGCCGAAAGACCACCAATGAGGCAGAGAGTAGCGGAATTGCGTTTATGTCGCACAGCAACAACAATAAAGCAAGGTCCAGAAAATGCAAGTATAACAACAACAAAGATATGCCCAGAAAGTTCGAGTGCAACAACGAAAGGTGCAGAAAATTCGAGAGCAACAACAATAATAGTGACAGTGAGCGTTCGCACAACAACAACAAAGAATTGGCGAGAAAATTCGTGTGTAGCAACAACAACATGCATATGAGAGAACGAAGGAACAACAACAATAATGTAAAGTGCTACAGTTGCGGTCGCAGAGGACATTTCGCTGCACAGTGTAGGTACATCAACAACAACGAGAAAACGCACACACAATCATACACAGTGTTAGAAACGGCGAACAACAACAAGAACGGATTGAACTCCAGCGTGTGGTGTGTCGACAGCGGAGCTTCAACGCATTTATGCTGCAATAAAGCAATGTTCGAGAAAATTGAAGATCATAATGAGGTTATAAATTTGGTTGGCGATCATAAAATTGTAGCGAAGGGCAAAGGCAGTGTGCGGTTAGAAGAATGTAATGTTTTGCTGAACGATGTGCTGTATGTACCTGAGATGCAGTGTAACTTTTTGTCAGTGGGCAGGGTAGCGGAAAAGGCAGACGTGATCTTCGATGACAAAGGGGCAAAAATAATAGAGAAGGGCAAAACAGTGATGTACGCCAGAAAGATAGGTAATATCTATTTATACAGCCCGCCCAAGAGACCAACAGAGTGTTTGAATTTTAATTGGAAAAATAGTTATAAAAGTCCCATTAAGGAGGGGAAACAGGCAGCCAATAAAAAGGGTTATAAAAGAATAAAATTTGATGAATATGTTGTAGAAGCCCTATAATGAATTAATGAAAATAATGTATATGTGTGTATATAAGTGCAGTGTGTCTGCATAGAGTGTAGGGTTATTGTAGTGTGTCTACAAAGTCTGTGTCATTGTATGTCAATGAGAGAAGAATGAATAGAAACATAGTGTGTCTATGTAGTTAAGAATTACCATTGTAAGTCAATTTGTAATGTATATATGTATGTAAATATAGAGATTAAGAAATATATGTGTTGAGGAGGGGTGTTGAATATTGTGATTGATCGCATAATTGGCAACACATATATTTTAAATTAGAGAACCCTACATTGTCCAGTTACAATAAGCAACAAATGGTTATTTGAATTAAAGATAATACTAGAAAGTAGTCACTAAGAATAATCTAGAGTTAGAAGTTACTAGAATAAGATAAAAAATGTATAAAAGAAGATGTAATGAGAATAGAGTGTGCCAGTTTGTAATAAGTAGTCAGCCCGTGTATAAAGTCTAACAAAGTGTATTCGTCAATCGTGTAAAGTCTGTCGTGTATAAGTAATAAAGTCTGCCAACACACCCCGTATCGTCCGTGTTTCATTTAATTGGTGGTCATCAGCATCGTCCGTCGATTGCAAGGAGAAATTTTAATTTTCAACAGTTAAGCATTTAAAGAATGGGTTTTCAGGTGAAGGTGTGAATCATTTAAAGAATTGTTTTTCAGGTTCATAAGAAGCCGTGGATTATTTAGAGAATAGTTTTTCAGGGTCATAAGAAGGTGTAAAGCATTTAAAGAATGGTTTTTCAGGGTCATAAGAAGCCGTGGATTATTTAGAGAATAGTTTTTCAGGGTCATAAGAAGGTGTGAATCATTTAATGAATGGGTTTTCAGGGTCATAAGAAGGCGTGAATCATTTAAAAAATATTTTTTCATAAAAACGCGTGGATTCATTAAAGAATATTTTTTTTTTTCATAAAAAGGCGTGAATTTATTAATTTAAAGAATAGTTTTTCAGGGCCATGAAAAGGCGTGAATTTATTAATTTAGTTTTTCAGGGTCATAAAAAGGCGTGGATTCATTAATTTAAAGAGTAGGTTTTCAGGGTCATAAAAAGGCGTGAATTCATTAATTTAAAGAGTAGGTTTTCAGGGTCATAAAGGGTCATAAAAATGCGTGGATGCATTAATTTAAAGGTAGGTTTTTTTGATTCCTTTTCAGAAAAAAAATTTTCATATATTTAGCATATTTTATTAATTTACGTGATATATACATAATTATATTTTTATACAAAATAAAACCACTTTTACATTATTTACTTCAATAATAACCGTTTTTAAATTAATATCTACACTTCTTATTCATCATCTTCGAAAACCATTTCGACCAAATCCTTTTTGGAGCAGCGATCACTGTCGACACGTTTCTGTGTATTCCATCGCATAAGTGTCGGTACCCAAACTAAATGTGTTTTGGGATCTTTTCGGAACGGATTGTTCGGATCTTTCCAACTGAAAAAAATAAATAGAGAAGGATAATGAATTTAATAAACATTCTAATAAAAGTGAATACCAAAAAGATAGGAGCGAATACTGTATAAGCTTTATCATTGGAACAGGGACAAGTAGAGGTTACAGAAATCAGGACCAATTATTAAACGAATAGGCGAATAGGGGGGTTTGTTAAATACTGATGAACATATTCCCTCTCGTGTTGCCAACTTAACGGGTTTCAGCTGTTCAGCAACTGAATTCAATTAAAATAAATTTGTCAATTACTCGAAATAATCTTCGGAGATACATTAAATATATTCATGTTCATAATATCAATATTTGGCTGTCTGTTGAAATCACTATAAAGATTTGAAATTTTAAACAGAAATTGGTGGTACCTTTAGGATGTTTGGCATTATAAATAGGATATTTCCGTCCGTTCTGTTATAGTTCCCATATAACGCTAACCCCATTATTCGGACTTTTTGAGGATGTTGGGCACGGTTTGCAATCAAATTCACTTTAATTTGGTATTTTGGGTTATAAATGGATAACAAAATAGCCTACCACAACTATCCACATTGGTCAACTCTTTAGAGTAGCCTCTGTATAGCGATAGCTCCCAAATTTCTGTACTTTTTTTGGGAGTTTGGGATTGCTTTTCAACCAAATTTGCTTTTATTTTATATTTTGGATTCTTCTTGGGTGTCGAATCTTTCTATCAAAAATTATCAATACCGGTCACAGGTATTGATGTCGTTTGGTATTGCGTTTTCTTCTGGAATCCCCGATCGATTTTAGGTATTTTGAATTTCCAACTCATGGTTTCCGATAATTTTAATTAAACTCGAGACGATACCTCTTAGCAAAATATTGATTCCCGATTTCTGTATCTCGCTTACTTGCTTGCCGATAATAACTTACTAGCTTCTTTCGCCCACAATTACATGAATAAAATGGGAATCGGCCGGTGCCTTCGATAGAGCCTCATGGACAACTGGTTCCGCTGATGAGAAAACAAAAACGTTTGATGAATATTCTAAATATTTAAAGATGTTCGTTCTATATTACCTGTAACACAATAGGGACACCAGCTTTCACCATTTTCATCTTTACCACCGGAAAAGAGAACATATATCGGCTTGCCCGATTGTTCCAATTCACCGACTAATTTCTTAAAGTCATCATAACCCTGGACGTTGTGCTCAATTACCATTGTTGTGTTGACTGGTTGGTGTACTTCGAAAGACTTCTGCTAATGTACTAAAATCGAAATTTTTAATACTAAAATTATTAACTGTATTAAGTTAAAATTACCAAAATAAACAATAAGAGATTAGAAAATTCGCCGCTACTGATAAGATGCAGACGACTGTTGCTGCAAATCAGATACAATTAACATATGTTGTGATCGTATTATCAGATGTTATCTTTTTATAGCATGTACACAGAGAGAAAAAGGGGAATTAATTGGAATTGAATATTTGCTGCAAATTGATGGTGGATTTTAAATGAATATACATATATTGTAGTCCAGTATGTTGGGTTCTCATTTAGTGACAAACCTTCCTACAAAATTCCGGTACCTCCCAATATTCGGTATTTTGAGTAGTTTGGGCACGTTTATCAACGGAACTGGCTGCAACGTAGCATAGTAATACCTCCTATTATTCGGCATTTTAGAGATTTAGAGCATGTTTTTCAAGCGAATGGGCTGTAATTTGGTATTTTAGGGTTTCATTTGGTAGACAATATTGATCAACTTTTTAGGATATCATCCATATAAAGTAATACCTCCTATTATTCGGCATTTTAGAGATTTAGAGCATGTTTTTCAAGCGAATGGGCTGTAATTTGGTATTTTAGGGTTTCATTTGGTAGACAATCTCTCTACCAAAAATTATCCATAATGACCCAAATTTCGGAGTAGTCCTCATATAACGGTACTTTCTTTGATTCCGCATTTGGCTCTAATTGGCCTAATGGCTTCGTAATACATGTTAAAATTGAAATATATAAAATAAATAAATAATTTGATATTTTAGGTTCCCAATGGGTGTCAAAAATGAGCAATATTGGTCCATTCGGCATTTGGCTCATTCGGCATTCGGTACCTCCACTATTATGAATTTTTAGGGATTTTGAGAACATTTTTCAACCGATCTAATATCATATTTTAGGTTCCTGTGTACCACATTATCGGTCTACAATCAGGTATAGTCCCTCTATAATGGTGCCTCCTTATTCTCATTATTCGGAGAGTATACGATAAGACCCCAATCGATTTGGATCTATCTAATTTGTTATTCTAAGCTTTCAATGGATGGTAAATTTTCTCACAAAAAAAATTAAATATCGGTTAAGGTGTTTTTATGAACATAGGCGAATTTTCAAACTAAAGTGATTATATTCCAGCATTACGAAGTGACTGCAATATGTCATTCTGGGACTTTGGTGTGGGTAAATAACTTATTCACAGAACATTTCCATTATAGGCCCATTTCCATTCGTTATATACCTCAAACAAAGCTGACGAGACACGGTATTAACGGGTATACTAATGCCGTATCTGGAAATTCGTAATTTCTCTCGGTTCCTCGGAATACCTTCCCATCATCGTCGTCAATAAACCACCCGACTTTATAACATTTGAACAACTCACGTCCCTGAAATAAGATAAAAAGACGAGCCCATTCTCTTAGATCCTCGGGTAGCTGAACAGAATTTCCCAAGAATAACCGAAGTGAGAAGTGAGCTCTATCGTATAAGAACCGATGAGGTACCACCATAATCCATTTAACTTCATGGCACAATTTAGGCATATTCCAGTAGCCGAACTTCATAATGGATAGGTCCTATAACTTCTGGCCGGGGGGTATTTCTCAGACCAACTTTTTATAGGATCCAGTCTTATATCAATAGAAGGTCCAACTTTTGGCCTTCCAACAATAGCAGATCAACTATCAGATCAGATCTATAAATAGGAAGCTAGCCTTATATCAGTAGGAGGCCAGCCTTCTGTCAATAGGAGACCAACATTCTTTCTATAGGAGGTTAGCCTTCTGTTAATAGAAAGTAAGCCTTCTAACAATAGGAAACCAGCTTTCTATCAGTAGAGCAACAGACTTCGATCAATAGGAGAGCGGTTTTCCAATAAAAGGCCAGACGGCTATCAACAGGATGCAAGCCTTCTATCATTAGGAAGAATGTTTTTTGCAACTTCCATCAGAGGCGTCGATTTTTTAACGAATATTTCTCAAGGTCCATCAGAGACGTGGATTTTTTAAAGAATATTTTTTACAAGGTCGATCAGAGGCGTGGATTTTTTAGAGAATATTTTTTTAACGTCCATCAGATTCATATCAAGTTCATGGGCAGTCGTTTCCAACACTGATCTCGTGGATTCAATTGTAATTTTATAGCTTTGATGCGGGGGATTTTTAATTGTTGGTTATTTTGTTTGTTTTTGCCAACATACCGGTTTCACTTCTTTCTATATTCTCTTAGAGATTTTTGAATTGTTGTGCTCAATTGTTTATTGCCCAGCTTCTTCTAATTACTTTCCGAATGCATCTCAATGCAATCAATTTTTTTAATTGTAAAATAAAATTCCTCAGAGATTTTTCTATTCAGTTGTGTTTCAACATTCCGGCAAGTGATTACAATTGATTCGCCGGCCGGTTTAGCACTTAAAACGTGGGGTAAAAAAATATTGAAACCAAAATGCAAAATTTCGTGGCATATATTGCCATCATATTCGGTTGTTGTGGTTTTATTTTGGTGGCCAGTGAAAGGTATGTTCTTCGATCATATTTATTTTTTTCTCTCTGGACCTCCACATATCAGGTCCAGAAAAAAATAAATATCTGAAAATATTTGTGGACTATCCTTTGTTTATATCGGAAAGTAGATCTTCTGGATTTCAATGCTCATCCCCAGATCGTTTTTAAATCGTACACAAGTTGTTGATTATTAATCCATTGATGGATTTACCCGCTTGTCTTATGACAGCAGCTCATTAAATTTAAGTGATTTGTGTTTAGCGTTAGGCACGTAAATTCACGCCTACATACATATATGTATGCCAATGTGTGTATATTTATTTGATATTTTTGAATTATATTGGAGATAATGACAGTGAATCATCGACGAACCAAATAATCGTTATCATATTCCGGTTATTAGAATACCCAAAAGGCCAGCGATCTATCTACAGAAGGCCAAACTTATGTTTATACGAGGCCGCCCATCCTAATATCAGCGGGAGCCCGCTCTTTATCCACTGAAGGCCAGCATGCCTGTCATTAGGAGGACAGACTTTTGTCTATAGGTGGCCAGCCTTCTATCAATAGGTGATCAGTGTCCAGCCTCCAATCAATAGGAGGCCGGCCTTTTATCAATAGGAGGCCAGCCTTCTACCAGTAGGAGGACAATCTTCTAGCAATAGTTGGTCAGCCTTCTATCAATAGGTGGTCATCCTTTTATCAATAGGTGGCCAACCTCTATCAATAGTTGGTCAGTATTCTATCAATAAGAGGCCAGCTTTATATCAATAGTTGATCAGCCTTCCATTAATAGGAGGCCATCCTTCTATCAATAGGTGGCATGCCTTCTATCAATAGGCTACTAGCCTTCCATCTAAAAAAGACCAGCTTTCTGTCAATAGGTGGCAGGTCTTCTATGAATAGGAGGCCAGCCTTCTATCAATAGGTGGCCAACCTTCTATCAGTAGGTTGTCAGCCTTCTATATACAGGTGGCCAGCCGTCTATCAATAGGTGGCCAGCCTTCCATCAATGAGAGGCCAGCCTTCTATCAATAGGTGGCCAGCCTTCTGTCAATAGGTGAGCAGCCTTCTATCAATTGGTGAGCAGCCTTCTATCAATAGGTTGCCAGCTGTGTATCAGTAGGTTGTCAGCCTACTATCAATAGGAGGTCAGCCTTCTATCAATAGGTGGCCAGCCTTCTATCGATAGTGTCCATCCTTAAATCAAAAAGAGGCGAGCCTTCTATTAAGAGGTGGCCAGTCTTCTATCAATAGGAGGCCGGCCTTTTATCAGTAGCTTGTCAACCTTCCTTCAATAGGTGGTCAGCATTCTAACAATAAGATGCCAGACTTCCATCAATAAGATGCCAGCTTTCTGTCAATAGGTGGCAGGTCTTTTATGAATAGGAGGCCAGCCTTCTATCAATTGGAGGCCAGCCTTCTGTCAATAAGTGGCCAGCCTTCTGTCAACTGTTGTCCAGCTTCCATCAATAAGAGGCCAGCCTTCTATCAATAGGAGGCCATCATTCTATCTATAGGTGTCCAGCCTTCTGAATTTAAAACTTCATTTAATTTCCTCTCTCCCCCCTTTCTTATTTTCAACAGCTACTATTCCATAATTGCACCGGGTGTCGTAAAATCAAATCATAAATATACGATAGTCGTGACGTTACACGAAGCACCGGAACCGGTAAAAATAAATCTACGCATGCAAGGACCATCGTATCACATGCAAGGTGATGTCTATTTGCAGTCATATGAAACAAAAATTGTGACATTTCTACCGCCGAAATTGTTGAGTGGTGAACATAAATTAATTGCCGAAGGTCTAAGTGGTATACGATTTCGAAATGAAACTCGTTTAATTGCCGATCCATTTGCTGGACCAAAAATCTACATACAAACGGATAAGGCCGTATTCAAACCGGGTGATGTGGTACAATTTCGTGTGCTGATATTGGATGAAAATACAAGGCCGTTGAAGATCAACGAGCCGATACGTGTTGAAATTATGGTAAGAAGGAATACCTTACTTAAAAAAATATACACCAGGATTATTAGTCCTAGGATATACCACGCTTCTGGTGGACATTGATAGGCCTTGAAAAAATATTCTGTAAAAAATCCACGCCTATTTGAGGTCTTGAAAAAATCCTAATGTTGTTTTTTTTTTCATTTCAGGATGACAAAGAAAATCGCGTGAAACAATTTAAGGATATTGCCCTCGTGAAGGGTGTATATAAAAATAAATTTCAACTTTCCGAATATCCTGTAATGGGCGATTGGTATATACGAGTCTATATAAGCGGCAAATATGATTATAGCAGGCAGAAACGTATCCGAGTACAAAAATATGTCTTGCCCAAATTTAGCGTTTACATTGAATCCGATAAATATATCATTTTGGGTGATCGAATGTCTTTAAAGGCGACAATTTTTGGAAAATATACATTCGAGAAATATGTCGAAGGTCATGCGGTTATTAAACTGATCGAGCCCGTGAAAGACACTGTTCTTGAAGAAAAACAGGTTCATGTGAAAGATCAGCTGGAGGTTGTTTTCCATTTGAAAGATTCGGCAATATTGCGAGCTGTACAAGGTTTAAATCTAATCGTTGAATTGACGGAAAAACATACGGGCCTAACGAGAAGTGAGCGGGCCTATATTGAGGTGCATAACAAACCATTCAATATGTTCGTGGATTCCAAATCCATCGAATTTTTCAAAAATAAACCTTTTCGATTGAAACTTAGTGTGAATGATTGGGATGGCAAGGCCATTGCAGATCCGAATATGCCGGTAACAATGGACCACGGTGGCAGGAAGTATACGGCCTATTTGGATAGCCAAGGTGAAGCAACATTTGAATTTGAACACGAATCGAATTCGAATCATCTATTTGAATATGGCAATGTTACGTATAAACTGGCGAATATATTGGCCTATGAACCGCTTAATACAAATAAAACCGAATCATATTTTAAGCTGACGGTGTTGAATAATAAGTAAGTACGAGCAAAACAAATATTTTTCAAAGAATATTTTTTTCATGGTCCACCAAAGGCGTGGATTTTTCAAAGAATATTTTTTCATGGTCCACCAAAGGCGTGGATTTTTCAAAGAATATTTTTTCATGGTCCACCAAAGGCGTGGATTTTTTAAAGAATATTTTTTAATGGTCCACCAAAGGCGTGGATTTTTTAAAGAATATTTTTTAATGGTCCACCAAAGGCGTTGATTTTTAAAGGATATTTTTTAATGGTCCACCAAAGGCGTGGATTTTTTAAAGAATATTTTTTAATGGTCCACCAAAGGCGTGGATTTTTTAAAGAATATTTTTTAATGGTCCACCAAAGGCGTGGATTTTTTAAAGAATATTTTTTAATGGTCCACCAAAGGCGTGGATTTTTTAAAGAATTTTTTAAAGAAAATATTTTTTTACTTTATTTCTAGACTTCGTTTGGGTACCACTGTCCAACTTGAAGTGTCCTCCACAAAGGATATACCCTACTTGGTGTATACCATTGTCGGTCACTCCGCTATTATAACCGGTGATCATGTAACATTAAAGCCAAATCAAAAAACCCACATCATAGAAATAATACCGTCCATAGATATGATACCCTACGCCTTTGTCTATGTCCACTACGTTGATGAGGGTAATTTGCGTTATGAGGAAATTAAATTAACATTTCCCCTGGAGTTTGAAAACAGGGTAAGAATTCTATCTACAATTAAAAATATATATAATATAAAAATAAACATTATCGCTCTCCAGGTATCAATTATGGCGCCCAAACAAGTCAAACCCGGTGAAGAAGTGACATTAGAATTGGCAGCCCAACCCAAATCTTTGGTTGGCGTCCTAGCCGTAGATTTGGGTGTATATCTCTTAGATTCTTCGTATGATTTGCAAAAATGGTCAATATTATATTCATTGAAAGCCGATACATCATCGGTGGCTTTTCGCGCTCTGGTATATCCGGGATATTTGTCAGGTGTCATCACCATGACAAATGCTCACTATATATTTATCCCGTTGAATGGTAAGTTGGAAGGAAATGCTTTCAAAGATTTGTTTTTAATCGAAAGTTCCTTTTTTTGTAGATATTGCTGTTTATAGTCCCGCTGCTATAGGTCCCTTAAATTTTCGTAAAAAATTTCCCGAAACATGGATATTTGAAAACTATGAAATGTAAGATTTGTTGACGAATGTCTTCCTAAGGTCTTTAAGAGGCGTAGAATTTTGGAAAATAATTTGTGAAGGCCTCCAATAGGCGTGGATTTTTTAAAGAATATTATTGTCAAGGGTACCATAAGGCGTGGATTTTTTAAAGAATAGTTTTGCAAGGGTACCATAAGGCGTGAATTTTTTAAAGAATAGTTTTTCAAGGGTACCTCAAGGCATGGATTTTTTTAAAGAATAGTTTTTCAAGGGTACCTCAAGGCATGGATTTTTTTAAAGAATAGTTTTTCAAGGGTACCTCAAGGCATGGATTTTTTTAAAGAATAGTTTTTCAAGGGTACCTCAAGGCATGGATTTTTTTAAAGAATAGTTTTTCAACACCCCGAGGCCTAGAAGACCTATGGATATATGTTTATTTTCTAACTCATTTCCTTTTGTTTTCCTAGCACCAAAAATACCACCCAACTGACCCTCAACATTCCCGACACAATTACCACCTGGCGTGTCACCGCATTTTCTGTAAATGAAAAAACCGGATTTGGTATTGTCGATGGTCCCACCGATATTACAACAATCCAACCGTTTTTCATCAATCTCAATCTACCATATTCGGTAAAGCGTGGTGAAATTGTCAGTATACCAATACTAATACACAATTATCATGACGAGCCGGTGGATACTGAAATTACATTCTTTAATGAAAATTCCGAATTTTATTTTATGGAATCGACAATTTTTAATGCCGATGAAGGTTCGACGGAAAGGATGCGTATTAAACGGCATACAGTATCGGCAAACAATGTTAGTACAGTTGCATTTCTCATTAATCCCCGGCAGGTGGGAGAGGTGAAGCTGCGCATCACGGCAACCACCCCCTTATCATCAGATGCTGTAGAACAATTAATCAAGGTGGAACCAGAAGGTGTAAAGAAACAAGAAACTAAGAATTTATACATCAATGACCTGCCTGAGGAACGGATGCAGGCTACATTTCTATTGAAAATTCCTCAAGGTATTGTACCCGATTCGGAATTTATTACCCTGACAATGGGTGGTGATAATTTGGCACCGACCATCAAGAATCTGAATGGTCTGGTGGCCATACCCACCGGCTGTGGCGAACAAAATATGGTGAAATTTGCTCCAAATGTTTTGGTTCTACAATATCTTCGGGCAACGGGAAGACATTATCGGGAGAAGGCCTTGGCAGCTAAGGCCAAGCATTATATTGAGCTAGGCTATCAACAACAGCTGTCATATCGGCACGACAAGGGTGGATATAGTGTTTTCGGCCAGCGAAAGGATGCTGAACCGAGTACCTGGTTGACGGCCTACATAATTCGATATTTTATAAAATCCTCAAAATATATTTCCATAGAGGGGCATATCATTGAAAGTGGTTTGCACTATTTGGTGAGTACTCAGCATATGGATGGTAGTTTCCCATATACCGGTTATGTCTTCTATCCGGCGCAGCAGAATCGATTTGGTTTTACGGCATTTGTTTTGATGACCTTCTTGGAGGATCAGGTAAATATTTTGGATGTTTCTTAATACTTTTACAGCGTCCATATAAGGCGTGGTTTTTTAAAAAATTGATTCATGGTTCAAAAAAATCGTGGGTTTTTTTAAATAATTTTTTTCATGGTCCATATAAGTCGTGGATTTTTTAAAACAATTTTTTTCGTGATCTATATAAGGTGTGGATGTTTTAAATAATTTTTTTCACGGTCCATATAAGGCGTGGATTTTTTAAATTTAATTTTTTCTTCTTTTTCAGAAACATGCCCAAAAATATAAACCTTCTATTGAGAAGGGTCTGAAGTTTCTTGATGATAATTTGGATAAAATCGATGATGTTTATGCCCTATCGATTATGGCCGTAACACTACAAATGGCACGCCATAGCAGCTCAACAAAGGTGCTTGAAAAGCTAATGAAATATAAACAAGGTTCCAATGATGGGGTGTATTGGACCCAAGAAGATCACAGCAATGCCAAGGATGTTGAAATCACTGCTTATGTGTTGATGGCACTTCTCGAGACCAATACAGATCCGCTGTTTAGTAAAAAGGTTCTGAAATGGTTAACAGAACAACGTAACCAACATGGCGGATTTAAGTCTACCCATGATACGGTGGTGGGTCTACAAGCTATGGTCAAATATTCACAAAAATATAATTCCGCCGAGGATGTGAATGTCAAAGTGAATTACACGGCAAAAAATCTGCAAGGTGACTCCTTGAAATCGGGTGAAATTAACGTGGATGCTAATAATGTTATGATTTTACAAACTGAAGAGGTAAGGGGAGCTCTTCAGGTTCTTCTTCTTATTTTTTTTTGACAATTAAAAAAAATTTCCCCTCTCTTCTCTTCCAGTTACCCAAAGCAACACGAGCTGTGGAAATTGAAGCCAGTGGTCTGGGTAATTCTCTACTACAGCTGAACTATCATTATTACATCGTGACCACAGAAAATTTCCTGCATTTTCAAATAGAACCGAAAACGAAAATTTTAAATCCCGACGAAATGCTGTTGGAAATTTGTTTCACCTATAAATCAAAAGAGCAGGCATCGGCGGCAGCCACCACCAATATGATAATAATGGAAGTAAACCTACCTTCAGGATTCACGACCAACGATGAGGATAGCAATGATTTATTGGAAAATGAAATAATACAAAGAATTGAGGCGAAAAATGAGGAAACCACCCTAGTTGTCTATTTCGAAAAATTAACGGCAAATATAAGAAATTGCCTAAATATTCTGGCGAATAAGGTGCAAGATGTTATTCAACGTAAACCGGCGTCAATAACAATTTATGATTATTACAATATAAGTCGTCACGATACGGTATTCTACAGTGTGGAACGGGATAAAAGTCCGCAGCATCAAGCAAAACTTGATGAAACCTTAATACGAATTGGATAAGATAATAATTTTATTATTTATTTGGAAAGAAATAAAGATCAAAGCACAAAAAAATAAATACATAAATAAAAACCAGTGCGTGGAGCAGTATAGTCGGACGGGGCCGACCATATGATACCATACACAACTTCCACGAAAATCAAATTTTCTGTGGTACTACAATCTGACTTTGGGTAATATTTCGCGGTATTGCCCGACTAGAGGTCAACAAATATTACAAATGATGATCGGCTTTCAATTTTGGCCTATAGATCGACTCGAAAAAAAAACACAAAAAATAAGGTTTCGGTCCACTTCATTCCAATATTATTATCTGATCATCACCGAAAATTATAAGCGTTGTCCCTGACCATACCTAGATCCTCATGGACAATTTCATAGCGATCAGCGCTATATTTAGCCCTCTATTGTGATAATGGGTTACTAAATAATATCTGAGTACGTGTAAACCTTTAAATATTTAAATGTATCTCCCACATCCGAATACATACGACAATATAATTGGTATCAATTTAAAGGTCAACCACTCCTCTTGGATATATTATCATCTTTACGTCCTTCAGGGGTAAATATATACGCTACAGAATAAAAATTTTGTAATTTTTCACAAAAGTCGGGGTCCATTTGACCAGCTAGATACTGACCGATCTTTATCAAAAAGGCATGCTTATTCTTTGGCCCGATCCCCTTCTCTATGTAAAAATTCCCGATGTTTGGGCCATAATTGGAGCGACCAGAAAATCAGAAAAAAATTAAGTATTTGGTCCATTTCATCCCCTAAATATTAACCGATCTTCACCAAACAGGGGTCTTCATTGGCCAGAATCCATCCTACATGCAAATTTCGTGAAGATTGGTCCATAACTGTGGCCTGTATCGTGTTTACAAATTATAATGGACAGACGGACGGACACACATTTCTAGTTCGACTCAGCTAGGCGAGATATGACCGGTATACTTAAAGGTGGGTCTAGGACAAATATTTCGCGGCGTTACAAACACTTGAGGCTGCACAAAGCTATAATACCCTGACAACATAGTTGTGTAGGGTATAAAAACCAGTAAGGAAAGTAGTAAAGTCGGACGCGGCCGATTATATGATACCCTTCACCACTATGAGTATATTAAACAGGACTCAATAGGACATTAATTGAGCTATGTCTGTACTTCTAGAAAATGCAGCAACGGTATTCTATGCTCAATTTTGTACGCTGTGAAAATTTCAGGCCAATCTGACAAACATGAGGAGTTTGATGCACCATTTACTTAAAATCGGACATAATTCCATGCTCAATTCAGTACGCTATGCCAAATTTTTTGCAAATCAAAAGATATATAGGGACTTTGGTGCACCATAAACATTAAATCGGACGAAACTATATATGGGAGCTATATTAAAATCTGGGCCGATTTTCACGACACTTGGCAGACAACACTACAGGCTCAATTCAGTAAGTTGTGCTAAATTTCGTGAAAATCGAAAGATATATAAAGACTTTGGTGCACCATTTACATTAAATAGGACGAAAATATATATGGGAACTATATCTAAATGTGAACCGATGTTTCCCAATTTCAATAGGGTTCGCCTTGGGCCAAATAAATGAGCTGTGCCAAATTTCATCCAGTTCGGATTTTAAATGCGACCTGTACTTTGTTTACAATTTAACACCAACTGACAAACGGACGGACGGAATACCCTGTACCACAGTGTGGTGAATCGAATAAAAATGTCAGCCAATTTAGTTGAAAAACGTGTTCAAACTAAAATATTCAAATTTTGGAGGTCTCATTTTATGGGCGTTACGGAATACTTGGTGGTATCGCTAACCGAAACGAAAAATCTAGGTGGAGATTTTCAACATTCTATCTTAAATATTAGGAGCTCTGTCGGATTTTAATGGATAAAACTATGATGTCCTCCTTATAGAAGACCAGAAATTATTTCTTTAGGAAAAGAGTATGCTTCTAAAGTCTACGGGAATTGAAATTGCTTGTCTATAAAGACGCCCTGAACTTCAGTCCGTCTATAACGGCAACTTGTAGCTCATCACTTCGACTATAAAAACTCCACTCACCTCGTTTTCAAATGCTCAGGAAGAGCTTAAGACTCCCTGAGCATCAATAATTACACCCTCAGCTTCAGTTCCTCTAAAAAAGACTCCATGAGCTTTTGTTCGATAAAGACTCCAATTGGTTCATAAAGTCTTTCTGTGCTTTATTTCATCAAAAAAAGCCCTAATGAGAACAAGTTTCCTGATCTTCAGTTCATCTATAAAGATTCGGTTCTTCGGCTCATTGATCTCTAGTTCATCTATGAAGATATCCTGAGTATCAGCTTGTCGGCACCTTGGCTTACGCACATCTATAAAAACTCCCGGAGCTCCAGGTCATGTGTATGTGAAGACTCCATAAAGTCTTATTGATATTAAGTTCATCTTTAAATACTCCCTGACTACCAGTCATCCATAAAGTCTTCTGAGCTCGCCCATAGAATACCCTAAGCTAATTACAGTTTGGCTATAAAGATCCCTAATCTTCAGTTCGTGTAAAAAATGTCTTTTATAGAATCCTTGTGCTTCAGATCGTCTATAAAGTCGTCCTGAACTTCGTCTTATCTATAAAGACTCCACGAGCTTCAGTGCGAACATAAAGACTGGCTGAGCTGCAGCTTGTATATAAACCTATCTGATTCTCGTTTCTACAGGTTCCATTCAAAATTTCTTCTTTTTTGTTGTAGGGTATACAAAGTTCGACCCCATGTACGTATCTGTATCACCTGATTGATGAATCCTTTAACTATGTATATGCATGTTCTTTGTGCCATCATTCTTGACCATCCTAAACAAACCTGTCCCGTACAGAAATCCAGTTTTACAGGAATCCCCTTTTGTTTGATATGCTGCAGCTGCATCATTTTTGTTGGTATGTTGATCTCCTTGTTGTTAGTCATATTTTTTTGGACTAGAATGAAATTTTACAGCATGGTCGGAGCTTCTATACGCAATGTAAATTCAGTTCTACTTTAGCGTCCGGCCAATCGTAACCATAACATAATTGAGCCGGTGAAGTACCGAAGTAATTCTTTTTTCGAATATAATGCGGCAAATAGTCGCTTTACTTGTGTTGGTGATGTGGGGTGTGTGCGTTATGCCGATCGATGGTATGGGTGAAAGGTAGGTTAGGCTGCATGGGAGGATAGAAATTTTAATGGATACATTTTTTTGTTTGGAATTTTGCAGTTACTATTCGATAATTGCACCCGGTGTTATAAAATCCAATCGAAAATATACGGTAATGGTGTCGCTGCACGATTCTTTGGAACCGGCAAAATTTAACATCCGTATAGAGGGACCCTACTACCATATGAGCAATGATGCCTATTTGCAGCCGCATGAAAGCAAGTTAATTGTTTTTATACCTCAAAAACTGGTTCAAGGTCCACATAAACTAGTCGTCGAAGGGGTGAGTGGCCTGGTGTTCCGCAATGAAAGTTTTCTATTTGCTTATCATAATGTTGGACCGAAGTTATACATATAAACCGATAAGGCTGTATACAAACCTGGTGAGGAGGTGCAATTTCGTGTTATGATATTAGATGAACATACAAGGCCATTGCAGATTCAAGAACCGATACGGGTTGAGGTGATGGTAAGTAGGGATGGGGAGGCAGGACATTTTAGAGAAGTATCTTTTAATAATTCCTATTTTTCTCCTCCTCCAGGATGGTGCCAAAAATCGTATCAAACAATTCAAGGATATAAAACTCGTAAAGGGCCTCTACACCAGCAAATTTCAACTATCCGAATATCCGGTTCTAGGTGATTGGTATATACGGGTATTTATCAGCGGCAAATACGATTACAGTGAACAGAAGCGTATACGTGTCCTGAAATATGTCCTCCCCAAGTTTAGTGTCTACATTAAAACCCAATTATTTTTAACTCGCGATATGGATCGCATTAAGGCCTTAATATATGGCCGATACACCTTCGATAAATATGTGGAGGGTAATGTAACGGCTCGACTAATCGACAATGTTCGCAATAAAATTCTACAGGAAAAACAGGTTGTGGTTAAGGATACGGTCGGTGTTGAATTCGATCTCAGCGATCCGGATTTATTGAAGCTGTATGGCTTTAAGCTACAGGTTGAATTATCGGAAAAACATACGGGTATGACAAAGAGTGAAGAGGTTTTTATGTCACTGCATGATGTGCCATATAATATTTATGTCTCGAGCGATTCTATACAATTCGAAAAAGGACGACCCTATCGTTTGACAGCCACTGTGAATTATTGGAGTGGTGCACCGGTTTTGGATAAGTCAATGCCGGTCGTAATGCAGCATGGCGATAAGGAATACAGTGCCTATTTAAATTCGAAGGGAGAGGCCATATTTGATTTCGATCATGATGAGAATTCCGATCATTTATTCCGCTTTGGGAATGCCACCTTTAAATTGTCCAATATTTTTGCCGATGATTCGTTTGGCAATAAGACGGAATCGTATTTTACATTGGGGCTGAAGGATGAGAGGTGAGTAGGGACAAATTCCTTTAAAATTCTTGAAAAATGAATCTTTGAAAAATCCACGCCTTGGATAGGCCTTGAAAAATGAATCTTTGAAAAATCCACGCCTTGGATAGGCCTTGAATATTAATCTTTGAAAAATCCACGCCTTGGATAGGCCTTGAAAATGAATCTTTGAAAAATCCACGCCTTGGATAGGCCTTGAAAATGAATCTTTGAAAAATCCACGCCTTGGATAGGCCTTGAAAATGAATCTTTGAAAAATCCACGCCTTGGATAGGCCTTAAAAATGAATCTTTGAAAAATCCACGCCTTGGATAGGCCTTGAAAAATTAATCTTTGAATACTCCACGCCTTGTATAGGCCTTGGAAAATGAATCTTTGAAAAATCCACGCCTTATATAGGCCTTGAAAAGTGAATCTTTGAAAAATCCACGCCTTGTATAGGCCTTGAAAATGAATCTTTGAAAAATCCACGCCTTGGATAGGCCTTGAAAATGAATCTTTGAAAAATCCACGCCTTGGATAGGCCTTGAAAATGAATCTTTGAAAAATCCACGCCTTGGATAGGCCTTAAAAATGAATCTTTGAAAAATCCACGCCTTGGATAGGCCTTGAAAAATTAATCTTTGAATACTCCACGCCTTGTATAGGCCTTGGAAAATGAATCTTTGAAAAATCCACGCCTTATATAGGCCTTGAAAAGTGAATCTTTGAAAAATCCACGCCTTGTATAGGCCTTGAAAATTTAATCTTTGAAAAATCCAAGCCTTGTATAGGCCTTGAAAATTTAATCTTTGAAAAATCCACGCCTTGGATAGGCCTTGAAAACTGAATCTTTGAAAAATCCACGCCTTGGATAGGCCTTGAAAAATGAATCTTTAAAAAATCCACGCCTTGGCTAGGCCTTGAAAATTAAATCTTTGAAAAATCCACGCCTTATATAGGCCTTGAAAATTAAATCTTTGAAAAATCCACGCCTTATATAGGTCTTGAAAATTAAATCTTTGAACAATCCACGCCGTATATAGGCCTTGAAAATTAAATCTTTGAAAAATCCACGCCTTATATAGGCCTTGAAAATTTAATCTTTGAAAAATCCACGCCTTGGGTAGGCCTTGAAAAATGAATCTTTGAAAAATCCACGCCTTGAATAGGCCTTGAAAAATGAATCCTTGAAAAATCCGCGCCTTGAAAAATTAATCTTTGAAAAATCCGCGCCTTGAAAAATGAATCTTTAAAAAATTCACGCCTTGGCTAGGCCTTGAAAAATTAATCTTTAAAAAATCCACGCCTTGGATAGGCCTTGAAAAATTAATCTTTAAAAAATCCAAGCCTTGGATTGGCCTTGAAAAATTAATTTTTGAAAAATCCACGCTTTGGATAGGCCTTGAAAATGAATCTTTGAAAAATCCACGCCTTGTATAGGCCTTGAAAAATGAATCTTTGAAAAATCCACGCCTTGGATAGGCCTTGAAAAATGAATCTTTGAAAAATCCACGCCTTGGATAGGCCTTGAAAAATGAATCTTTGAAAAATCCACGCCTTGGATAGGCCTTGAAAATTTAATGTTTGAAAAATCCACGCCTTGGATAGGTCTTGAAAAATTAATATTTGAAAAATCAACGCCTTTGATAGGCCTTGAAAAATGAATCTTTGAAAAATCCACGCTTTGGATAGGCCTTGAAAAATGAATCTTTGAAAAATCCACGCCTTGGATAGGCCTTGAAAAATGAATCTTTGAAAAGTCCACGCCTTGGGTAGGCCTTGAAAAATGAATCATTGAAAAGTCCACGCCTTGGATAGGCCTTGAAAAACGAATCTTTGAAAAATCCACGCCGTAGATGGCCTTGAAAAATAAATCTTTAAAAAATCCATGCCTTGGATAGGCCTTGAAAAATTAATTTTTGAAAAATCCACGCCTTGGATAGGCCTCGAAAAAATATTATTTAAATATTCTTTAAAAATATTCTTTAAAAAATATATTCTCCTTTCAGCCTTCCTCGCCTGGGTAAACCCGTGGAACTTGTGGTAACATCCACTGTGGAAATACCCTATCTGGTTTACACAATTATGGGTCACTCGAATATCATCCATGCTGATCGCATTACAGTGCCTGGCCGCCAAAAATCCCATACCATAGAAATAATACCATCCATCGAAATGGTACCCTATGCCTATGTGTATGTTCATTATATTCAGGACGGGATTTTGCGTTATGAGGAAATTGAGCTGGAATTTCCATTGGATTTCGAAAATCAAGTAAATCGAATCCAACAATAACAAAGTATTTGTATGTTCACCGAAATCCTTTTCTAGGTTACCGTCGATGCTCCCAAACAAGTACATCCGGGTCAAGAAGTCACTCTCGAATTGAAGGCACAACCAAAGTCGTTGGTTGGAATATTGGCTGTTGATTTGGGTGTATATCTCTTGGATCCCTCGTACGATCTCAAACGTATGGACATCTTGCGTTCATTAATGAATGATGTCTCATCGTTGCCATTTCGGGCTTTGGTCTATCCGGGCCTATTATCTGGGGTTATTACCTTTACCAATGCTCATTATGCATTTGTTCCACTGCATGGTAAGACCGTTATTTTGAATATTTATATTCTAAAACTTTAATCGATATTATTAATTTATTTATAGCCCATACTGCGGTCAGTCCCGCTGGGGTCAATCCTCTTAAATTCCGTCAAAAGTTTCCGGAAACATGGATTTTTCAGAATTATGAAATGTAAGTCCTTCCACGCCTGATGGTCCTTGAAAAATATTTTTTTTTTAAATCCACACCATCAGGGTCCTTAAAAAATATATATTATTTTTTTAAACCTCGCCTGATGGTCATTTACAAAATATTTTGTTAATATCCACCTCTGATGGTACCTCAAAAAATATTTAAAAAAATATTTAAAAAAAAAAAACAATTCTTTAGACCCTTAAAAATAAATAATCATTTAAAAAATGTTTTTATTTTATTTTCAGCTCTGACAATATAACCGAGATAAAATTGGAGATACCCGAAACAATTACCACCTGGCGGATCACCGCATTTTCGCTAAACGAAAAAACCGGTCTTGGCATAGTTAAAGGACCCACCGATATAACCACAATACAACCGTTTTTCATTAGCCTCAATTTACCCTATTCCGTGAAACGGGGTGAAATTGTGGCCATACCAGTCCTCGTACACAACTACCTCGAACAAGAAGTTGAATCGGAAATTACTCTCTACAATGAGGCTGGAGAATTTTATTTTATGGATACAATCATCTTCAATCCCAAACGAGGTTCGGAAGACAAGAAACGGGCAAAGAGGCTTAAGGTTCCTGCAAATAGTGTTGGCAGTGTGGCCTTCCTTATCAACCCCAAACAAGTTGGAGAGGTGAGTTTGCGAGTGGCTGCCACAAATTCTCTAGCCGAAGATGGTGTAATACAAAAACTTCGTGTGGAACCGGAGGGAATGATTAAGCGGCACACAAAGCCTTTATATATCAGTGCCTCGCCTGGAGAGAAGACAAAGGCCACTTTCCACATAAATATCCCCCGTGATGTTGTACCACAATCGGAGTTCATTACTCTCTCGGTGAGTGGCAATAATATGGCTCCAACGCTCAAGAACCTCAATGGGTTGGTTTTAATGCCCACCGGTTGTGGCGAACAAAATATGGTAAATTTTGCACCGAATGTTTTGGTTCTACAGTATTTGAGGGCGACGGGAAGATATTTTAAGGAAAAGGAGCTGGTGGCAAAGGCCAGAAATTTCATTGAAGTAGGTTATCAGCAACAGCTGTCATATCGCCATTCGAATGGAGGCTATAGTGTATTTGGTCAGGCGAATGATGAGGAGCCAAGTACATGGCTCACCGCATATGTGGTGAGATTTTTTATCAAGGCTACGAGATATTTACCCATGATGGAGGCTCATATTATCGATTCGGGTCTAACATATTTGGCCAGTACCCAGCGTAGTGATGGTAGTTTCCCCTATACCGGTTATCTTTTCAATCCGGCTCAACAGAATCGTTTTGGTGGTGCGGCATTTATTTTGATGACATTCTTGGAGGATAAGGTGAGCAATTCTTGTTTCTTCTATATAGAAGGTCAGATTTTTCTTGAGTAGCAGAGAAGTAGGCCATGGTCGGCTGCCTCTTCCTATTCTATAGGATAGAAGTAGGTCAGGAGGCCTGCTGCTTCTAGGCCTGCTGCTTCTTCTATTCTATAGAATAGAAGTAGGTCAGGAGGAGGCCTGCTGCTTCTCCTATTCTATAGAATAGAAGTAGGTCAGGAGGAGGCCTGCTGCTTCTCCTATTCTATAGAATAGAAGTAGGTCAGGAGGAGACCTGCTGCTTCTCCTATTCTATAGAATAGAAGTAGGTCAGGAGGATTCCTGCTGCTTTTACTTCTATAGAATAGAAGTAGGTCAGGAGGAGACCTGCTGCTTCTCCTATTCTATAGAATAGAAGTAGGTCAGGAGGAGACCTGCTGCTTCTCCTATTCTATAGAATAGAAGTAGGTCAGGAGGAGGCCTGCTGCTTTTCCTATTCTATAGAATAGAAGTAGGTCAGGAGGAGGCCTGCTGCTTCTCCTATTCTATAGAATAGAAGTAGGTCAGGAGGAGGCCTGCTGCTTCTCCTATTCTATAGAATAGAAGTTGGTCAGGAGGAGGCCTGCTGCTTCTCCTATTCTATAGAATAGAAGTAGGTCAGGAGGAGGCCTGCTGCTTCTCCTATTCTATAGAATAGAAGTAGTTCAGGGGGAGGCCTGCTGCTTCTACTTCTACTATAGAAGTAGCCAGGCCTGCTTCTTTTTTGACTCTTCTTCTTATTTTATTTTGTTTATTTTTTTTCCAGAAATTCGCCGAAAAATATAAATCCACCATTGAAAATGGTCTGAAATTTCTGAACGATAACTTGGAGGGTAATACGGATATTTATGCCCTTTCCATAATCGCCGTGGCCATGCAAATGGCTCAACATGCCAATGCCACAAAAATCCTCGATAAACTTGAAGAACAAAAGCAAAGATCCGATGGTCGCATATGGTGGTCACAAAATGATCATGATCATGCCAAAGATGTTGAGATCACTGCCTATGTCCTGATGGCCCTTTTGCTGGAAAAGCAGACCCGAAATATTCGAGAAGAGCAAGAAATTTTCAAATGGCTGGCGGAACAACGTAATGAACGTGGTGGCTTTAAATCGACACATGATACCGTTGTGGGTCTGCAAGCATTGGCGGCCTATTCGGAGAAATATAATACCTTAGACTCGTTAAATTTACGAGTAAAATATTTTGCAACTAATTTCCGCAAACAAAAATTGAAATCCGGCGAACTGCAGGTGGATGGAAATAATGTGATGATTTTACAGATGGAAGAGGTTAGGAGGGTGTTTCGGAAATATTTCTCACAAAAACTAATTGCTTTGCCTTTTTCAGTTCCCCAAATACACCCGCTGCATAGACGTAGAAGCCTCCGGTTCGGGTAATGCCTTGCTGCAGTTGTATTATCATTACCACATCAGTTCCGAAGATGATTTCCAACATTTCCGCATTAATCCCAAGGCGAAATTGGTAAATCCGGAAGAATTGAATTTGGAAATTTGTTTCAGTTATCGTCAGGATGCTAACTCCGTTGCAGGTGGCAATTCGACCGGCACAAATATGATAATTATGGAGACTAATTTACCCTCCGGTTTTACAACCAATGAAGACTACGGTAATGAATTGCTGGATAATGAGCTGGTCGATCGTATAGAATTGCGAAATTCCGACACCACTTTGGTTATGTATTTTGAAAAGCTATCAGCAAATATTGATAATTGTTTTACGATCATGGCTGATAAGCTTAACGATGTCCTACAGCGTAAACCGGCATCGGTGGCTGTGTATGATTATTACAATATCAGTCGTCATGATACGGCATTCTATAGTATTTGAAATGCTTGATATGAATTTGAAAATAAAATAAATAATAGAGAACAATAATAGTAATGAGAAGTAATTTTGTTAAGTTCGAAGATGGGCTATATCGGTGCATTTTGGCTTCTTATTGTGTACTACATTTCTCAACTAAAAATTATATGTATAGGTTCACTTTTTCTGGTAGGCCCTATACATCGGTATGGAGGTTGCAGTCAAGTGTGGAACTGCCGATGTAGAGGTGCAAAATGTTACCGTTTTTTACCGGATATAAGTCCGCTTTTAGAAGGTAAATATAGCCTGGTACTAGAAGATTTCTATAGCAAATTGGTAGGTCATCATTTGACACGGTTAATGAGGATGTCCCTACGAGGATAAGAGGAGATTGACACAGTTTGCCAGACATAACCATTGTGGCACCGGGTCAGATAAATGACGTATCCCAGCAACCCGTCATTTCACTCGGCGCAAACTACCTTCCTATCATCGTGTCCGTCAACAGGCCAACCGACCTCTGAACGCTGTACTTTCCTGAACCATGGGAAATCTGATTGGCCTCATTTCAGATTGTTTACAAATCACCGCTTCAGGGAGCTGCATATTCCCTCAGATTCTCGGGTAGTTGAGAGAAATTTTCGTCAAATCACCACTACTGCGACCGCTCCATTCATGCCTGCTGGTCGAATACCCGAAGTAATACCAAATTTCCCAACAGAGGCAACGGTACTGGCAAATGAACTTGAGGAGCTCCGTTGTACGACCCCTGAAGACCCAGGGTTGCGACAACTTACCCTTGAAGTCAACAGGCTAGTATGCAAGCACAAAAGGAAAAATTGGTTAAATCACCTGAAGTAGTACAACATTGTTACTGGATCAAGTAAATCGTGGGTAACGCTTGAGTCACTCTCGAAGAAAATATGACAGGACGGCCGTCTCGTAACTGTGACAGTCACGAAGAGGTACGCGTTTTACTTTAATAGTCAATCCACCCCGAGAGTGACGGGGCCAAAAAGAGTGTACTACGTCGCAGAAGGTCACTCCGATCCAAGGAGGTAACACCAGTTTTTTTTCCAGTTGCCAACATCAGCATGGATTCCGTAAGATGTACAGTACCACAATAACAGGACTTAGGTTATGGTGGCACTTGACCTATCGAAGTCCTTCGATACCGTCAACCATGCCAAGCTGTTCCAGGACATAGAGAAGACAAATCTCCGACCGTGTTCGTAACGTTGGGTAATCAACTTTATATGGGGACGCCAGTCGTATGTGGAATTCAGAAACTTAAATTCTGAACCATGTAGAGTGAAACAGGGAGTTCCCCATGACATAATTATGGAAGGTAGTCGCATTTGAGGAATTTATAATGGCAACACATTTTATTCTGCAACTCATAAACTTCTACATAGCTGATCTTGTAAATTACTTCAATCTGATTAATATGAAAATATCCGCCACACTATTCACCACATGGACGGCTGAAATGAAGCTCCGGCTGACACAAACTACCCCAAGATACTGAGAGTAACTTTCGATAGCATTTTCACGTCGTCTGCGCAAGTCACTGCCTTATGCGATAAGCTGAGAATTAGGAACAAGGTCCTCGCTAGTCGCTAGCCGGCAGCACATGGAATACTGTTAAAGAAACCTTGTTGACATCTTTTAAAGCAAATAAGCCCGTCAGTATTGAGCTATGTGACACCAGTGTGTTTTGCGAATGTAAATAATACGCAGTGGAAGAATATCCATACCTGTCAGAATTCCGCTCTGAGAACTGCAAGTCACTGCTTTATGCGATGAGCTCAGGAGTAGGAACAAGGTCCTCGCTAGTAGCTAGCCGGTTACATTTTGGACGCTGAAAAAGTAACTTTGTTGGCATCTTATAAAGCAATAGGCCGGTCAGTGGTAAGCTATGCTGTACCAGTTTGGTTTTCGAATGTAAGTGATACGCAGTTGAAGAATATCCAGTCCTGCCAGAATGCTGCTCTGAAAACTGCAACAGGGTGTCTTCTCAGGACTTCAGTGGACCATCTTTATGAGGAGATGAATTTCTTACCCCACCATTTGAACCAACTAAATGTTGTCAATGCTTGGGTATTATTGTCAATGCTTGGGTATTATTGGCTGGAACACTCCTGTCATAGTCTTATGGAGAGAATTCCCAGGCACTTCTGGAGAGATCTTCATTATCTAGAGAGGGATGTCCAAAGTTATAAGCGTGAACCTCTAGATCATTGAACCAACGAAGCAGTTGTGAATGGCATTCACACAGCCGCAGTCGCTCAGGCAGTACAGCAATATCGTGTGTATACCATAATCGGAAAATACCATAACACTAATAACAGAGGAGAAGCCAATAATAGAGGAGAAGCTAGGGAGCGCAAAAGTCGACTTTGAGACTTTTCAATTTTTGCCTCTGACCAAAAATTTGACTTTTCGATTATGTCAAACCTGTGCAAAGTCGATTTTCTATTTTTACCGAATAGATGTGTGACGTAGGGGATGATAGATACCAAACAACGGGTCTGATTGGCTTTAACGTGATAAAACCCAGGCTCTCCCCCTACTATAAAAACCAACGAAAAAACAAACCCCTCAATGTTGAAGACCCTCGCAAACGTATAAACGATCACGATCTGGACAGAACAAGGTGCTGTTTTCGCTTTGGCGAATGAACTTAAGAAACCGATATTATTGCCTTAAAAGAAATACAATGGAAAGGGACTGGCGTAGGTAAGTCAGGAGAATAGAAGTCTTCGTCTCCAGATTCATACCAGTAGATGAGTGAATTGCTATAATCCGTATAAAAGCGATTTTTTTTACATCAGTCTTATTTGCGCCCATGCTCCGACAGAAGACAAAGATGAGCAGACCAAAGACATATTTTACGAGCGCCTAGAAACAGTATATGTCTGCTGCCCTGGTTATGACATTAAAATGCTGCTAGGAGATTTTAATGCAAAAATCGGAAGGGAAAACATTTTCGTACCCTATGGAAAAATCAGCCTCCATGAAGAAACATCAGACATCGGCATTAGGTTGATTGACTTCGCGGGAAGGCCACCGGGATTGCTCTCGATCAAACAAAGAGAAATCAAATCGATCATCTTGTGAGCGAAAATCGAGTCGGACCACTACCTTGTAGCAGCCAAGGTTAGCACTCATCTTAAGGTGGCAGCAAAAGTGCGATCTAACACAACACGGTAGCAGAAGCCTATTTCGCTCAACTTACCCGCCTGCTTGACAAAAGCACTCCTTGTCCTTAATATAGAAGTCCAATGGCAAAGAATTGCCTACTCCCTACAAGCTGCAGCAAGAGCAATACTTGGGTACCAAGGACCACCATCAACAAACCCATGGTACGATCAGGAATGTCGTAATGCTACTGATGTGAAAAAATCGCAGCGTATTGGGCAACCCTGCAAACAGCAGCAACACGTAATCCGATGGAGAATTATCGGGAGAAAAGGAGAGAGGAGAAACATATTTTCAGAACAAAGAAGAAAGAACAAAAAAAAAAAAAAAATGTGAGCGTAAGCAAATCCAGATGTACAGGAGACAGAGTGAGGTCCGGAAGTTTTACCAACGAGTAAAACGGAGCACTTGACAGTTTGTCGTGTAACATTCTGCTGGAAAAGATCATACGGGAGGCAATGGTGAACAGACATGGCACTCTGTACACAAAGCAACACATATTACTCGCCTACGTCGATGACATTGACATTAGGTCGAACATTACGAACGCCAACAGCCACCTTTGAACGTATTGGAGTCTGCCAAAGTGGGTCTGGAATAAATGAAAGACCAAGCTGATGGACGTCTTACGTCCATTAGACTTGGACCAACTGTGGAACTTGAAAACCACAGCTTCCATCTGTTGAACGACTTTATATACCTCAGTACCGCCATAAACAAAACTGATAACATCATCGAAGCCAATAACAACATAATATTCCGCATACCAAAATAATATGTAACACGTGAAGGCTAGCTGAGCTATATTCTCTTGTCAGTGAATCCTTTATCTTAGTTACAGCTTCGAAACAGAACCTGTTCAGAGCATGCAATGAAAGTTTATTCTTGGTCATCCCGAAGCAGAACAAGTTCGGAGCAACTTTCAGTTTATAAGAGGATTATTTGTGTGTGGTTCTTGTTGTTAGTTTTATTTTTTCTGTTTAGAGAAGTATTGACATCGACAGAGAAGTGGCCAACAGGTTCTCCATGTTCGGCAAATTCAGTTGTATTTTAGCGTTTAGGTCGTAACATAAGTCTTGACTTCATTCAACCGGTGAAGTAACGGAACATCGTTTGAAATGCAACAAATAGCCGCCTTACTTGTGTTAGTGCTAGGGTTCATCATGCCAGTCGATGGTGCGAATGAAAGGTAAGTTAGCCTCCTCCCAAGAATTATTGAAATAAATACACAAGGAGATTTTAATTGATTTTTTTCTCACTTTTGCCGCCACTATTCGATTATTGCTCCCGGTGTCATCAAGTCCCATCGTTATTATACCGTTGTGGTATCGTTGCATGAGGCATTGAAGAATGCCATATTTACTATAAGCATCGATGGACCCAATTGCTCAATGTCCACAGTCTTACATGTGGAACCGAACCAAACCAAGTTCGTGAGTTTTCGACTGGGAAAATTGTTTAAAGGTGATCATAAACTAATCGTTGAGGGTATTAGTGGTCTAGTGTTTCGCAATGAAAGTCCCATAATTGCAATGAAAGTCCCATAATTGCAGAATTTACATACAAACTGATAAGATTGTGTACAAACCGGGGGATCAAGCTCAATATCGTGTTTTAATATTGGATGAGCATACGAGACCGCTGCGGATTAAAGACCCTGTTCGAATAATAGTAACGGTAAGTTAAAGGAAAGTGAAGTGAAGGATTTATCGTATGCTACACTAATTACAAAATTTTCCTTCTTGCAGAATGGTGAACTATATATTCCTAAGCAAGGTAGCGGTGTTTATTTCTCGAAGAGCCTTTACTATGGTACATTTAAA